GTATCCCCAACATATTGTACTAGGGACAGTATCACTGGACTGAGGGAGGGCGGTATTCCTCCTTGTGGGTCACCTGCTTGGCAATATGGGACGGGAAATCTGCAGGGGGTGAGGGCAGTTAAGTTGATGGTACAGACAGATAAGAGAGATCATTTTACAAATGTGAAACCTCAGTCCACAAAGGAAGAGGCGAAAGCTGAAACTTGGTGAGGTTTACAGAACAAAGGCAGTTATTTCTAGTTTCTTACTGACTCTCGAAGATACATTTAATAAAACAATTAATGCGTGTGTGTGTGTGTGTGTGTGTGTGTGTGTGTGTGTGTGTGTGTGTGTGTGAATTGTACACCATAAAAATGGCTACGTATGTGGTTGGGGTAGATATGTTAAAAGCCCGGCCAGTATGACCTTTGAGTCACTACAGTTTCAGTCATTAAAATGCGTAAAACAGTATTTGAGTGAAAGAAAACACTATAAGTTAGTGAAACAAAAGATTCACATTCTTCTTTCCCCACCATTATGTCCACGTCAGCCAGCATGGATCCATGCGCATGCTTTCATACATAATCCATCCTCCCACCATTCCCCAACATCCATCGAACTATAACTATATCCGCCCTCATGTATCGGTATTCGTGCTTTCATACATACATACACCCCCCTACCATTCCCCTACATCCATAGCAGTATAACTATGACTATAACCGCCTTCGTGCATCCGCACTTATGTTCACGTTGCATTGCATATGCATCGAATTACACGTTTAAAATATCGTAAATATTTTACACCATGTCCATATTATATATCAGCAAACATAGAGTATTATAACGCAATAGATTTCATCCGTCAAAACATCACAGAAAGAGGGGCAGCCTGGAATTTTACAATGGCATCTGAATACACTAAGACGTTCAACTGGTCAGGAGGTGAGACTTGCGGAAGATTACGGTAAACTTCAGTTACAGATCTCCATTACGAATATCGAAGTATGAATAAAGATCACAGCTTGCTATGACGTGTACTTCATTCCTGCAGAATTAGCAATGTCCTTAGCTCTAAATTGTATGTCTAAATGCTTATGTAGACAAGGACCCAAATGTATATAGGCATGACCATATTATATTCTACGCAAATATCACCACATTTAAAAAGAAAGCTAGATTGAGTCTTTGAAGGGCATTAAGAACTGATACACACAAGGAAAAATATTTATGGATGTCAACGGAGGAACACTGCGTTTCGGAATATATACTTTCTCCTTCATCAGGTGAATATTATTAAATGCTATGAGGCAGAGAACATATATTTGTACCTGTAAGAACAACAAAAGTAAAAAGATAGCAAAGAAGGGAACGCAACAAGGGAAGCCAACAGATAACTGGCGCTGATTTACCCGCCTTCCGTTTGCCCATTGTCCATTTCCCATTACCAATCATTCATAAGTTAAGTTTTGGCTTTAATTTGTCCATTGATAATCAACCATCAACGTCTATTATCTCCACCCTAAAAATATGTAGTGTACTGAGAAAGTGGTATCCAAATATAATATGTGTTACTGTTGACAACTTTCTTAAAGGCATTGTTGGTTCAAAGCTTTCGGCCATAGAAGCCGTGCCATTTTTCTCTTGTCAGAGGAGAACACAAAGTATACGTCATCTGGACTACCATTTTTGGTTCGGTGGCTGGGTTAGATCGCCAACTTTGTGTTCTGGCGATTGGGTGCCCCACTCACAGTGTGGGTTCAAATCCCGGACGGGACTCAACCCAAGAAAGTACGAGAATCTGTACTTTACTCCGAAAGTGTTATCCCATTTATAACATTTGTTGTCAAGAAAGCACAATAAATGTATATTCGGCTTTGGATAGGTAATGATATCACAGACATATACGGATATTGATGATGACTTGGAGGAGCTTCGTAGCGCACGTCTTCTCAATTCAGGGATTGGTAAATCCAAATATGTGTGTGCGCGTGCGTGCGTGCGTGCGTGCGTGCGTAAATGTGGGCCTGTTGGATGTTACATAAAACATTCATCTTGAGCGTGATGGTAGTTCGAGTTGGATAAGCATGTTAACTATATGATCTTCTTTAGGCAGAGAATGCCGCGCATGAATGTATTGATGAAATTCCTAGGTACATGGGGCCTTTTCGTCCCCAGGAATACCCACAGTGGAGACTTCAATGGGGATAGGGTGAACACAATATGCTGCCTGGTAGATTGTGTGTCATCAGACCGGACAACGTTGGTCTTTGACTGATTGTGGCGTAAAACACACTTATTCATTTACTTATATCGGAAATTGAATGTTTATCTTAATTGTTATTGTTGAACATGTAATATATTTTTATAAAGTTTATCTTATAAAGTTGTAAGCTTCTTCACAACCGTGTAACTATGAATTGACTTTATTGGGTAATCAAAAAAGAGAAAGGACCTAAAATAGCCAAATTTCATACGATTTCACTTGTCCACCATCTTGGATGCAAGGCGAAAACATTTCAGCGCGTTTGAAGCCACTGAGAATGCCCCCTGCAGAGTTGGACGAACATTCTGCGGTGGCGCGGCTGAGTTGACTAGAGGCTATCAGCAGTATTTACTGTCCAGGTTATTTAGGTCCGTTGTTTGTGTGTGTGTTTGTGTTTGTGTGTGTGTGCGTGTGTGTGTGTACGTGTTTGCGTGCGTGCGTGTGTGGGGTGGGGGCGTGGGGGTGAGATGGGGGGAATAGATGATATATTTAGCAACAAGTAAGGTCATCTTGAGTGGGAGGGTATTCGCAGATGGATTAGCATATGAACTATGGTTCTCTTTAGGCAGAAAATGAGGATCCACGATGTTCGACCTGGTAGAAGTGTGTTATCAAACCTCACAGCATTGTTTTTTTGACTGACTGTAGCGTCAAAACAAACTCATTCATTTACTTGAACTGAATGTTCATCTTAATTGTTATGGATAGTCACGGAGCCATGATCCAGAAAACAGGGTGTCATTAGATAGAAATAAACTAAGTAATAATAGGATTACCAGAAAAACGGGGTTTTACACACAAGCCAATAAACTTCGCTCATTAACACCAGATTAAGTCAGTACAAGATTGAAAACTGCCCCATAATTATGTATGACATGCTTGTCGGGTATTGCTACATATATATGTGAAAACACAGTTATTAAAATGAAGAGCAAAACTGATGAAAGTTACCAATAAACGTGTATAACTGTTATATCGTCACTGCAAAAATAATGATTGTTTGTCTTTAGTATTAACATTCAAATACGTTATATCTGTATTAGCGATATTGTCTTCGTTCCCCCGTGATTCAATCGTTAGCCGTACTATCTCGTAGTATAATAAATTGAATTTCTGAAGACATCACGATACAGTTTTTACGATGCATCACGTCTGCACTAGCGCTTGATAACAGCCTTGTGTTTGGGTGTTTCAGTGGTTTAAATTGCTGCTCTTGATATTGTTGATTAAACTTTGATACTATGAACAATATAATGTTATGTGAGAGGTTGACTTTAGAACGGTAACATACTAATAGTATATAGGATGACATAAACAGAACAATGAGAAGTTCGTCCAGATTAGTGTATAGGCAACATTTAATAATTAAAATAATTACATTCAACAACTCCCCTTTTAAGTCATTTTTCCTGACTTATAAGTAAATGCAAGAACAATCGGCCGGAATACATTGTATAGTTCTTGTCCACTTCTATATGACTATATAGCATACAATAAGCTATCGGGTCCCGTTTAGATCGGTTTGGGTGGCAGCCTAGATAGCCATAGAATAGTTTCATCTTGGAATCTCCCATATCACTGGGGATCCTCTTCAATTTAAATGGAGTTACTTGTTACGATTCCGAACCTTCACGTGACTGTGTTTATGAATCATTGTCAAATAGTGGTGACATTAAATCTAGGAAACAATACGCGAAATCGTGCATGCACAGAACGGAAATTTGGTCAAGGCATTAAGTAATCAGCATGCACAGAACGATTGATTTCAGTACTTCCGCTTAGCGCTTCGAGTGCAGCGTCAAACGCGGGCCTGTAATCTAACACGCGAGGACTGACCAATGAAATCTGAGAAGTAGAAATACCGGTAGACGCTGTTGCTTGATTGACAATGTCAATCAAGAAAGGGAGGAGCTTAACGGTATCGTTCTCTCCCAGTAAATTCCGATGTCAAATAACGACGTTATTTGGACGGAAAAACGATGGTTTGAAAACGTCCAAATAACGTCGTTTTTCCGTCCAATGACCATATACGGAAAAAAACGACGTTTTCGTGTTTGCAGTGTAACGAACTGAAACGGACCTCTAATTTCAGTTCGTTATAACCGTTGTTTATTATAAACATATAGAGCACATGAACAGCAAATGGTCGGGACAAAACAAATAAGTTCGTCATATCCGTCAGTTCGTTTTACGCGTGTTCGTTTTAAGCTTAGTTTACCGTATGTGCGTGTCCATAAGCCTGTGTACAGGACAGTGCGTAGGATTGGCCTTCAAGTTTAAGTCCGGTTAACATAGAGTGCAAAAGTCATTTAAGAAATACAGTTGTTTAATTTGGCTGCAGACTGACCCAATACGTTTTAAAACATAAGCATTTTATATGAATAAGAAACTTCAAATTCGAATTCCGAGTGGCAATTTCTTTTAGTCGGAATCGTATAATGGATTTTTTATGATTATGAAAATGTTTTTTTGTCGCTTTCTTACACAATAATAGTGAAATATCTCGAAAAATATTGACGTGTGGCTGATCTGCATTTACAAATGGTTCCTTGTGTGCACACCTTGATCAATCTGTAACCATTGTAGTCAATAACATAATTATTATGAACACAACAGTTATAAAAAAATGCATGTGATTAAAGTTTGGCATTAAGTATATTAGCATCTAATTACCTAAATTAATTTTATCTGAATTATCCACCTATAATTAAGTTCAGTAATGTGCATCAGATCTTATTGATTGTTTTACTGACAGGCTGAGGTGCACAAGCAATCGTACGAGGAGACGTTTCCAAAGTATCTGCAGGCCCTGGAGAAGATTCTGACTGAAAACGGCACAGGGTTTTTCGTGGGCAAGAAGGTATGTTGTACACAACGGCAAGGGTTTTACCTGGGCAAGAAGATGTGTTGGACACAAGTGCAAGGGTTTTACGTGGGCAAGAAGGTATGTTGGACACAACTGCAAGGGTTTTACGTGCATAAATTTGCAATTGATGTGCTGCTGGAGTACGCCACGCACTACCTTCCTTATGTGACGAGTTCATCGGTATCTTGAGATGAAGTTGGAGCAAGTGGGTTTCGCTCATGTGGCGTTAGAAAGTGTTCTGAAAATACAAGAAGACCTACTCGCCAACTAGGCATGGATGTCTACACAGTTGGTGCTCTCCCAAAGAATATCACCATTCGCATAGTAGCCGAATTTCTTTTGCACCTCAGACTGGTCACGGAATTCAAGCAGGGTACTATAGAGAGTTAAAGATTTTACTTTGCCTATGTTCTACAATATGTGGACGCTATATGGGTACTCATCAAGTTTTAAATCAACTCATGAGAGACCCGTGAAGAACCGGGGTAGAATAGCTCTTCAGCAACCCATGCTTGCTGTAAAAGGCGACTAAGCTTGTCGTATGAGGCCTCTAACGGGATCGGTGGTCAGGCTCGCTGACTTGGTTGATGCATGTCATCGATCTCAATTGCTTGGATCGATGTGCGTGATGTCAATCACTGGATTGTCTGGCCTAGATTCGATTATTTTACAGACCGCCGTCATATAGCTTGAATACTGCTGAGTGTGGCGTTAAACAAACAAACAAACAAACAAACAAACAACTCATGAGAGCCTTCCAACTTGAGGACATCAAGACCCTTGCATCTTTCCTAAACGGAACCTGTCCATAGACCTATCCGCATTACTGAACGCTTGAACCAGTTATTGAAGTTAGGCTCCTTCAAGTCTCAAGGAAAATAGATTTCCTTCTTGCCATGGCAACAACGGTGCACTAGATGCCTGATCCTACCCTGCCCTCTGGTGTACTCTGGCTATGCTGTAATAGATGTAGACATGGTGGTTTCACTGACATGAAGTTGATAAGAACACTTCAAAAGATGGGGTTAAAAGATGCTACTGCCGACATAGGGAATATGGAATGAATGAGTATCTGCTACAGTCAAAAGTATAAATCTACTGCAAGAAATCGAATCAGGGAAGACAAACATGTGGTTGATAACATGAACAACCAACTAGGTCACACTTCATAACATCCTGGTTAAGTCGGCTATTTTAGCAGAAATATAATAATGTGGATAAGAAAATAATGTTAATACGAATGAAATGCTACATGTTTTCATATACCACAACATGATGTTTATAAAATACCAATATGATCTCTGACGAGAAACTTTGAGATGAATGACCGCTTACATCTTGTTTCAATGTTACAGATCACTGTTGCCGATGTTGCCGTGTTCGATTCCATTTCTGAAAGGATTGAGGACAGCCTATTGTCCAAGTACCCCAAAATTAAGGCTAACCTGAAGACAGTGGCAGCAAATGATAGGATAAAGGCATATATTGCAACGAGGAAACAGACGAAATTTTAACAAATATCGCAATATCTGCACCCTCGTTGTAAGGCTGGACTACGATCGTACTTTTCTCCATAAGGTCATCTTTTCATAAACAAAACATTTTTTAAAAAAAGAAAGAAATAACACGTCATGTTTTGCTAAACGTCCAAACACACTACAATCGATTTCTTATCGCGATCGACGCGATCCAACGTGTTGAAAATTATTACGGAGCCTGTTTTGATGCATCGCAAATGTTGCATGGGGAGTTCTATTCATTCAGATTTTTTCAAATAAGGCACCGTCTCCAAGTGACGTGCCCAGCTTTCTGGGTGTATAAATGGTATATTTACCGTTCTGTGTGATATTAGTCTGTCTCCCAGACCTTAGATATTAAATATAGAAAAGAACCCAACTCAAGTCGAGAATAGGTTTGCAATTCTAAATTGATTCAGCTCTAAATTGCCTAAAATTAAACATTTTTCTGTTTTTGGCTCCATTTGTTTTTTATTTTAAAGATATTATATTTATAAAAAAGATAACTTAATTTCGGGACTAAATGTTAGTCTAGTGTGATATATGTGATACTGATATCAACTGTCATGGATTATATTGTCACGTAAATAGTTTATACATTTTTCCTACTGTATAAGTATTTTCTCTTTTAAGATGAAAGTTTTCTTTTTCTTCTACTGTGACAGTTCTTGTTATGTCCCTTTCACCGTAAACGTGTGCGACTTCAAATATAGTCTGTGTCAGAAATCGCTGTTCATTACGTACGCATGACACTGAATGAACGGGCGTTGTGTGAATCTGGCCTACAGCACGCTCAAGGTTACACTAGGGGCATCACCTTGAGGAAAAGATATGATAGACCAGCATCATTCTCAAATCACTTGTGCATCAGTAAATCGCACCCTCCGATGAGGATGCTGTAACCTGGGGTGTGTGATTTGTCATAAAGTGAATATGCTATTTTTATCACTGATCATGCACATATGTTTTGTTGCAAATGAAAAACATGAAATAAAATGTGTTGTATAAAACATATGCTTTTGTTTTATTGACAAGAGACTGAATATAATTTATTGCATTTAAAAGGGTGTGGGTTTTCTGATATTTTTGTTGTTGTTGTTGTTGTTGTTTAACGCCGCACTCAGCAATATTTAAGCTATATGAAGGCGGTCTGTAAATAATCGAGTCTGGAGCAGACAATCCAGTGATTGATATCATGAGCATCGATCAACGCAATTGAGATCGATGACATGCATCAACCAAGTCAGCGAGCCTGACCACCCGATCCCGTTAGTCGCCTCTTACGACAAGCATAGTCACCTTTTACCGCAAGCATGGGTTGCTGAAGACATATTCTACCCCGGATCTTCACTGGTCTTTTCAGCTGGTCTGGATTCGAATCCACAACTAACCCCAATCATAAACCTTAGTTTGACAATTGCACACCAAAACTGTTGTTGAAAGCGGCGTTACACCCATCCCACTCACTCACATTTACTGATTATACACTGTTTAGTGTCAGGTTATTGCACTTATAGAGCGACGTGCATGCGTGTGTGCGTGTTTGCGTGCGTGCGTGCGTGCGTGCGTGCGTTCCGGCTTAAATTTCAACTGACGATCTCATGCAGGTCCTAACTGGCAAACATTGGGTTTTTTTCTATTATCATCACCACCTATCATCAAAAAACATTAAAAAATATATTTTAATAAAGTGTGAGATCATATACACAACTTCCAAGTTTAGAGGCAGATGGGATTAATCTCGGTATCCCATCATATACTAGAGTATACAATACGCCCCTGACACAGCTCAGTAAAAGGCTTTATTTGTTTGTTTGTTTATTGTTTAACGCAGCTCAGCAATATTACAGCTATATGACGGCGGTCTATAAATAATCGAATCTGGACAAGTCAATCCAGTGATTGACATCATGAGCATCGATCCACGCAATTGGGATACGATGACATGCATCAACCAAGTCAGCGAGCCTGACCACCCGATCCCGCTAGTCGCTATTTACGGCAAACATGGGTTGCTGAAGACCTCTTCTACCCCGGATCTTCAACGGTCCGCAATATAAGTACACACATTTTATTTATTTATGTTGAATCCTCAAATGTGGGGGATGGGGTGGGGTGGGGTGGGGTGGGGTGGGTTGGTGGCGTTGCACGTGGTGGTATTTGTGAGGTGGGGATCTTTTAGCAAGTAATATTTACAAACATATAACCGAGCTGACTTTTTCCATACAGCAGCCGCAACGAGGCTGTGTCTATTTATAACCGTTCACGCACTGATACAATCATGTGACTTCTGCTCGCGCCAGACGAGCAACACGTTTTCCCGCGAGAATAGACGAACAGGGTGCAAGCTGTGTCTCAGGTCAGAAGATTCTGTTGTGCGAACGACGCTCGTGTGTAAACCCAAAATATGCCTACATACCGATACAGATACTTCAACGCAAGAGGACTAGGCGAGGTATCGCGTCTGTTGTTCGCGATTGCAGGAAAAGACTACGAGGATGTGAGGTTTACCTCTGAAACATGGCCGGCGGAGAAGCCAAGTAGGTTACTTGTGTTGTCGTTATGAAATACCATGCATCACTCATTTGAACTTTGGGAGCAGATTCACCTTATGCTGTTTTTTAGGTTCATTGCTACTCAGAAACAATTTTATTATTTCTTGACAATTTTACTTTGGTATTATTTTATTTGTATAATCCCTGCTAAATTGCTGGTATTAATAATGAGACAAGAATATGGAACGGCTAAGATTTATCGCAGTAAAATGCATTAGATATCGTTTAATTTGAATAACATTCTGACTTTTGTTTAAGAATTTATTAGTTAAACATTTTGCTTAATCGAAAATTTGGATTCGAGATGTTGCTCGTAGAATTCTAGTTACACTTTTTGCTATTCGTGTTAATTGTATAATTTTGAGATTTTGCATTCCTTTGGGCATGTGAATATGTAAGGAAATGATAATTTGGATATGGTTAAAGCTGCTTGTACAAATGCGCATGACAAAGATCCTAAAAAATAACTTCAAGAACAACTCTGCGTAACTACACTACTCAAAATAAGTTGAGGACCACCCGACCCTTTCTTATTAGTATAGTTCATCTGACATGCCTTGACAAATTAACTATAGTAATATGAAAGAATTAGGGTGATCCTTAACTTATTTTTGGTAGTATACATAGTCTTTCCTTTAAGCTTGCTCGCTTGTATTTCTAAATACTGATCGCATGAAAACACCCGAAACATTAACTATACTGCAGTCACTTCTCAAAAGTACTGTGTTTTGCTTGTTGTAATTTGAGGTGAGGTGGGGTGAAATGGGGTTTAACATCGCGTCCAAGATTTTTGCACTTATATAGCGACGTGCATGCGCGCGCGTGCGCGTGTGTGTGCGGCTGCTTGTATCTGTCCGGACTGATGCCGATTTTATAGTGGTAACACATGTACACTGACATACCATGCCGTAGTTTAACATGAATACCCCACTCAGACACAGTATACTGACTCCGAGCCGACCAGTCCTTGTTTTAGCCCCTTAATGCCGAGCGCCAGACAACAAATACCATCTATTTAACGTATTTTGTTATGACGCGGCCGGGGATCGAACACAGACCTTCCGCTCTCCGGACGGCTGCTCTACCACCAGACATCGGAGGCGGTCTATTGTAATTGAGACATACATTTCTGTTCTCGGACATGTGACAGAATTTGGGCAGCACACGAACAGATGCAAATTAGTTGTCACCTCAAACAGCATTTTTATGCAAAAATGATTTTTATAAATGTCTACTCATTCAATTAAAAAAAATATCCAGGCCATAAATATATCAACTACTCAAAGAAAAACATATTTAACCAATGAACATGCGTATTAGTACAAACGCAATAGCTCAAAAGTGTATCTGGAAAATGGACTCTTGTTTAATGTCGACCCCTTAATTTACAGATACACCACTGGGACAGGTGCCAGTTCTGGAAATTGACGGGAAGCCCTTCTCTCAGAGCAGCGCTATTTCAAGATACCTTGCCAGGACTTTTGGTAAGGATGGTTCATGAAATAATAATATTTTCATAACCACATCTCCAACTTTTAAATGCCGCTCAAAGATCTTGGTGTGCCAAGCCGTAGGAAAACCGACGCTTGGACGGTATTACCATTTAATAAATTACTTGTTTAAACAATTATATCCCCTCGTACAAAGCCTAGTGGCAATGGGATTGTTAGTTGACACAGGATGTATGACAGTATCGCGAACATACGTCCGTCCGTCTTGTTTCGCTTCCGGAGCATTAATTTATAAACAGTTCAGTTGTTCCTCTTGAAAGTTATGTGTATGCAAATCGGGCAGCTCAGTGCTGAATTGGTGATTTTTCCTATGGAGGAAGGTTTGAAATGTTTATATTTCGCGTTTCCAAGGCCAAAAGTTGAACTTAGTGTATGAAACGGAGAATAACTCATATTTTTAAGCATTTCGACCCGTGGAGATCCGGGCTAGAAATGGTCTTCAGCAACCCCTTGCTGTAAAAGGTGACTAACGGATTCGGATGGTCAGGCTCGCTGACTTGGTTGATGCATATCATCGTATCCCAATAGCGTGGATCGATGCTCATGATATCAATCACTTGATTGTCTGGTCCAGACTCGATTGTTTACAGACCGCCGTCATATGTTTGTTTGTTGTTAAACGCCGCACTCAGCAATATTCCAGCTTTATGACGGCGGTCTGTAAATAATCGAGTCTGGACCAGACAATCCAGTGAATAATATCATGAGCATCGATCCACGTAATTGGGATACGATGACCATCCGATCCCGTTGGTCGCCCCTACGACAATAAGGCTGGAATATTGTTGAGTGCGGCGTTAAACAAAACAACAACAAAATAAGCATTTCAATATTTGATTGTTAGACTTCATCTATGCATACGGTATGAGCTGTACTGGTGCATTTATTTTTCACGTTTTTTATATGTTTTTGCATGGCAACAGCTGCTGTGGTCAAATGCTGAAATGGTTTCCTAAGTATAAGTGTTAAACATTATATTGTATACGACACACGTCAAGTGACGTGATACATCACTGTTGGGAATCCAGGTTAAAATAAATCCCCAGCAGCTGTACTTCATTTTGGGTTGAGGCAGCGCTTGGAATGAACACTCGATGACTAATAGGTTCATTATCGCGTGAACTTGCCCGTTGAGACTGCATTCACTATACGGCAGTAATTTTATGCTTATGAACATCCGACCCGTGAAGATCTGGGGTAGAATAGGTCTTCAGCAACCCATGCTTGCCGTAAAAGGGACTATGCTTGTCGTAAGAGGCGACTAACGGGATCGTTTGGTCAGGCTCGCTGACTTTGTTGATGAATGTCATCGATCCCAATTGCGTTGATCGATGCTCATGATATTAATCACTGGATTGTCTGGCCCAGACTCGATTATTACAGACCGCCGTCATATGGCTGGAATATTGCTGAGTGTGGCGTTAAACAACAAATCAACCAACCAATTATGCACGTCCTGCTCTTCTCTACACACTCCAACCTAAATTTGGCGTCTCAGGCGCTGCAATTCTCCGTGCATGCCAGAAACCTATGGTTGTGGGTTCGAGTTCCTGTTCGCCCCGATTATGTTTGTTCTAGGTTTGGCTCGTTGATTTCCCCAGTGTCGTCTAAGACCTGCATCACTCCGGGCTTTCCTCCCACATTAAACTGACACACTGTGATATAACTGGATCACAGCTGCGTTCAACCCAGCTCACTTGCATGCAATGTATATTTAGTCATGAAAATAATGTACCTATTTGTGACGTAGGGCCGATGTAATCGGTTTGAGAATTCCATTCATGTCATATTTTTTCACGAAAGATAAGGTCTTCACCAAGTGCTTGTCTGCATAGATTTCGTCATGTAGAAAGTACTTATTTCGTGCATCGACCTTTGTATTGTTACGTAATTGTTGGTGTATTTATTTCTGGCTGCTGTTTATGTCAAATTCACAGAAAATGTATGCGACTTCACATAGGTGTGTCCTAGAAATCGCAAGTCATTACGCACGGCGCCAAGTTAACCACCGTAGCATGTATCCAGCGACAATGAAGGGGTTTAGACTGTCATAGTGGTAAATTGTTTGTGAAACGTGTATCCTGGGTGTAGGAAGTTTTTGTGGAAGTAGAGCTACAAGACTTACCTGAGTATATGTGGAATAAACATCATCATCATCATCATCATGTCCCAATCTATGGCGGTAACAGCTGTAAGCACCAATATGCGCCACATCAGATCTGCAAATCTCATACGTATTGCATTGAACATGTTTTAATATTACGCGCAAAAATCAATGTCACCAACAATGTATTCATTTCAAAATCCAATGACAATTGCGTGAGTAGGTTGGGTTAGGCTAAGTCGTGACCGGTGTTAAGCCGCTTTCAACTCAGACAAGGAAATTGCCAACCTGGTGATAGCAATTTCAAAGCGCCAACTTACTTCCTAAAGTTAATTTTGATTAGTATGATTACCTTTTCAATAATACTTAGGTACAATATGTGAAGTTCATTTTCAGGTCCCCCGCCATAATATTGCTGGAATATTGCTAAAAGCGGTGTAAGACCCGACTCTCTCACTTCAATATGATGACTGAGGGGCGGTCGGGTAGCCTAGTGGTTAAAGCGTTCGATCGTCACGCCGAAGACCCGGGTTCGATTCCCGACATGGGTACAATTTGTGAAGCCCATTTCTGGTGTCCCCCGCCGTGATATTGCTGGAATATTGCTAAAAGCGGCGTAAAACCATACTCACTAACTGCAAAGCTACAAATAGTGCACTACACCTTGTAAGTGAGTGAGTGAATTGGGCACGGTGGTCCAGTTGTCTAAAGCGCTGCATTTCGCTGTGCAGAGTTGCGTCCCTTGAACACGCCAGGAACATGATCGTGGGTTCGAATCCCGGTTCGCCCCGATTGTTTCTATGTGTGTCAGTACCATACCCGTGCTCGTGGGTTTCACCGAAGTGGTAAACGACCGAGACCTGTATCACCTGGGGCTTTCCTCCCGCATATGGCTGACACGCCGTTATATAACTGAAATGATGTTCAAAGCGGTTTTTAACCCAACTCATTCACTCAAAAGTTCGGGGCTGTTCGGGGATTAAAGCGTCCACTCGTCACGCCGAAGACCCGGGTTCGATTCCCCTGATGGGTACGATGTGTGAAGCCTATTTCTGGTGTCCCCTGCAGTGATATTGCTGGAATATGGCTAAAAGCGGCGTAAAACCATACTCACTAACTGCAAAGCTACAAATAGTGCACTACACCTTGTGAGTGAGTGAATTGTGTTTAACGCCGCTTTTAACAGTATTCCAGTTATGTCACGGCGTGTCAGCTTAATGTGGGAGGAAAGCCCGAAGTGATGCAGGTCTCAGACGTTTACCACTTCGGTGAAACCCACGAGCACGGGTATGGTGCTGACAAACCTAGAAACATAATCGGGGCGAACCGGGATTCGAACCCACAATCATAGGTTTCTGGCGTACCCAAGGGATGCAACTCTGCACAGGTAATCGCAGCGCCTTAGACGACTGGGCCACCCGTGCCCCCACACCTTGTAAGACTATGGTTGGATGTTTTCAGGGTACTATGGCAAGGATGACATGCAAGCCCTTGAGGTGGACCAGGTTCTGGGTATCGGCCAAGACGTCATGACGGACTTGATCAAGTCTGTCTATGAGAAGGATGAATCTAGGAAGGTAAGGATACCGTCTAATCAATAGATACGCACGCATTTCTCTCTGGAAGGAGGAACCAAATAATAATGTTGGAACCTAAAACCAATATTTTTTCAGAAGAACCAACTGTCCAGTCCAGCGAACTGAAAATGAATTTGATATTTCTCCATTCTTTTTCGGGCCCATCCAAGTCCTTTCAAAAATATCAAATCATCGGTCCCTATGTCGTAATGGTGGGGAATATGTAAATACGGATGGCCCAGTCCTTTAAGATGCCGCAATGCGCTTGCAGAGGTGCCATGTTTCAGCACCATACCCGTGCTCATGGGTTTCACCAAAGCGGTAAACGTCCAAGACCTGTATCACTTCGGGATTTCCTCCCACATTAAACCGACACCGTCATATAAGTGGACCACTGTTCAAAGCGGCGTTAAACCAAACTCACTCACTGTGGTCTTGGGTTCGAATGCCTCATTCACCCAGATAGAGCTTTGGTTTGTTAGCACCATAAGTGCTCATTTGCTTCTTCAAATGGTAAACGTTAAAGGAATGCGTCAATCGGGCTTTACTCCCTTAACTTGACACGCTATCATATAGCTAAAATAGTGTTCAAAGCAACATTAAACCACATTACAACTGAGTTGAGTTTGTTTTGAATGTCCACGGCCTGAAGGGGCATGGGTGGCCGCGACTAAGGCGCCGCAATTTGCTGTGCAGAGTTGCGTCCCTTCGGCACGCCCGAAACCTGCGATTGTGGGTTCGAGTCCCGGTTCGCCCCGATTATGTTTCTAGGTTTGTCAGCACCATACCCGTGCTCGTGGTTTTTACCGAAGTGGTAAAAGTCTGAGACCTACATGACTTCGGGCTTTCCTCCCACATTAAGCTGACTCGCCCTGATACAACTGGAATACTGTTAAAAGCGGCGTTGAACCCAATTCGCTCAATCACTCACTCACTTACTCACTATACGGCCTGACCAGTGTTGGTGTATGTTCTGCTGCAGGCAGAGTGCGCCAAGGCAAACAAGGAAGTGAAGTTTCCTGTATACATGGGAATGTTTGAGAAACTTCTGAAGAATAACAAGGAAACTGGTTTCTTTGTTGGAGAATCGGTAAGATAGTATTTACTCAATAATGATGATAATAATGATTGTGATGATGCTTTTTATGTCGGCCAAAACTCTATAATTGTGTTTGCGAAACCACCATTACCGCGATCAGTGTTCACTCGATTTTCATTCTCAGCTCCCAGGGGAGTATACAAAGATGGGTATTGTTGCCACCACGTAGCCACCATCTGTCAACCAGCCCTGCATCCATTTAGCTCTCTGTCACTTCAATACGACAAAAATAGTATTCATGACAATTTTCCATAAATAAATGTATATCACCATATATGAAAAAAGGGATGGGTATTAATACATATATCGTCACAAACTATGTTCCCCATGCTTGTGGTTAGTGGCCACTGAATGGGGATCGGGTGGTCAAGCTCTGTGACCTGGTTAATTGCGTGTCATCGTCCATCGTACCCGAGTAGACTAGTTTGTCGGTCACAGATGTGATATTGCGGACTGTAGCGTTAAACAACATTCACGCGCCTCCATTATTTCTGGGCCTCGACAGGCGCCTTAATTCGCTATGTAGATCTGTGTCCCTTCGCCACGCCACAAACCTGTGATTGTTGGTTCGAAACCCGGTTCGTCGCCATTATGTGAGACCTGCATCACTTCGGGCTTTCCTCTCACATTAAGCTGAAACGCCGTGATATAACTGGAAAACTGTTAAAAGTTGCGTTAAAACCAACCCAACCCGTGAAGATCCCTGAAAATATATAGCGGTCTAATATTCACTCAGTCCGACATACGCATAAGACAGGTATTACTCAGAGGCGCCAGATTATTAATTTTATTACCCAGAGGGTTAGAAATAACCGAGTTAAAAATCGTATGTGTACTTGTGCAATATCACTTCAGGCGCACCAGTGTATTGTTTACGTCACCCGAGTGGCAACGTTGGCGTCATTCGAGTCTTATTGTGACGTAAGGTCGGAATGACGTCGTTTGGTTAAATCAGTATGTGTGCGTTGCAAAGCGCCAATCGATGCAAGCTTGCAAGCTGTGTACAGCGATTCGCCTTACAACTTTCGCTTCGTTCTCAAACCAAAATGGCGACTGAATTTGACAGCGGAACACGAAATTCTTGACTGGATCAACGAGGAAATGAACAAATGCAGCTAACACCCCATCATCCTCTGTCTGCCCCACATCTTCAAAGTAGTCATAAATTTCATCAGTTCGTCATCGAGCCTCTTCTATTACGTTCTTCATTACGTCAAGGCAACCAAGCGGTAGTTGCGCCGCCATTTTGGAAGAGTGCGCAAGCTCTTCGAACTGTTGCAGACCCCGGGATGAGCGATTAGTTTGCTTTCTCTAAGCGATTCGTGGCTTGCAACGCGTCCTTTGACACACATGCTCGTATAAAAGTCTCTCTGCATATGCTTGGTATTGATGAGTTGTAAATTTTATTTTCAGATCACTCTGGCCGACCTGTATGTGTTTGACCTCTACGAGAAGATCAAGTCTATGGTGACGCTTGATGATTACCCCCTGTTCAAGAAGTGCATTGACCATGTCGGCAGCAACGAAAAAATCAAGGCCTGGGTTGAGAAACGGCCCGTAACAGAAAACTAAATCGTTTCTTAAACGTTGTCAGGCCAAGCACGTCTGCTACGAATACTGTGGGCATAGTTAAAGATATGAAATTATTCCGTTGTCCATTATCCTGTTAAAATGTGCATGATGTGATGTATTTGTTGCAGCTTTCAACGGTTTGTTTGTTGCAGCTTTGTTTGTTTGTGGTTGACAGTCATCTACACTTTATTTTCTCAATTATTTTACAATGTGGGGCGGCCAGGTAGCCTATGGTTAAAGCGTTCGATCGTCACGCCGAAGACCCGGGTTCGATTCCCGACATGGGTACAATGTGTGAAGCCCATTTCTGGTGTCACACGCCGTGATATTGCTGGAACCTTGCTAAAAGCGGCGTAAAACCATACTCACTAACTATTTTTCAATGTATGGACACAGTTGAATATTAAAATGATTATCACTTGGTTCGATTTGTACATTTATTGAAATAGTAGGGTTAAATAGTTCGTTAAGATAATCCACCTATTTCACAATGTCCTATATCATTAAAATCAGCTCTTAGTTCTCGCTATCGCTGAACAAGATCTGAGGACATCCCATTAGGGGTGAGACCCGTGAAGATTCCGGGTAAGAAAAAGTCTTTAGCAACCCATGCTTGCTGTAAAAAGCGACTATGCTTGTCGTAAAAGGCGACTAACGGGATCGGGTGGTCAGGCTCGCTGACTTGGTTGATGCATGTTATCGATCCCAATTGCGTGGATCGATGCTCATGACGTCAATCACTAGATTGTCTGGTCCAGACTCGATTATTTACAGACCGCCGTCATGTAGCTGGAATATTGCTGAGTGCGGCGTTAAACAACAAACCTACAAACCAACTAACCCGTGGACAAGTCGCAAACATTCTATATTGTCGCCCTCATTCCAACGGTTCACGAGTCCTGTCAGGACCCCCTAGGGATTGCGAGGTAGAATAAATCTCTGCTACCAAAAGTTTGTCATTTGAAATGACAGGTGGTTATTTTGTGGGACATTGCTCCCGCTATTGGTTTGCCTGGTCCAGACGCGATCACTTTCAGGTCGCTTGGATGTAACGTTAAAATTGCTACCTGCGGCCTTAAACAATATTCAGTGTTATTTCCATATATCATCCGCACACTTGCACGTGTCAAGGAATACGTTTCTCTAGTTTATGCAAAAATAAAATACGTTGGTAACATTTAACAGTTTCGCGAGTTAATATATATCCCTGTCCAACATCCGCTCTTTTAAACGTTAAACGACACAACTGATGTTTGAAACTTCATACATAGAACATGGCTGCCAGCGGTATAGATACAATACCCGTCCTTATAGCGGGGATAGGAGTGAGTTAGTCGATACTAACACTTTTTTCGCACCGGACACCAGCCATGGACTTCACAAATTGTACTCATATAGAAATTCGAACCAAGGTCTTCAGTATGAGAAACGTAAATTTCCCCACCGACTTGTTGCAAGATATAAGTTAACTCAACTTTTGGTTAACGAGTTAAAACATGCCAAGGTGTACTTGATAGAAATATGGGCATATCTGTTTGTTTTCAAGCCGCTCGCATCGCCGGCACAAGTGTGTCTCTGATATACAGTTACGCGGTGAACATGTATTTATTCAACATATTATTATCTTTTAGAAACACAGAAATTAAACAAAACCCGTTTATCATATTTTGCCTGTTTAAAGTGTGTTGATGTTTTATAAGGCTGAAGATGGACCCCAATTGGCTTTCTGGAGATTTTGAATTCTTTTATTTATATTTTGAATGCCTACATATCAAATTCCAACTCCGCCAGGCAATTAGTGACCCTTCGCACAAGTTATGAAGCACTGCCTGGTTGTATTCCCTCCCAACATTAGAGGTAAGGCAGTTTGGTGGGAAAGAAAGTTGAAGTCTGTCTGGGTGGCATCCAACTAGCTATATATGTCTGTATGGCATCCAACTACCTATGTCTGTATGGCATCCAACTACCTATGTATGTATGGTGTCAAACTAGCTATGTCTGTATGGCATCCAACTAGCTATGTCTGTATGGCATCCAACTACCTATGTCTGTATGGCATCCAACTATCTATGTCTGTATGGCATCAAACTAGCTATGTCTGTATGGCATCCATCCAACTACCTATGTCTGTATGGCATCCAACTATCTATGTCTGTATGGCATCCAACTAGCTTTGTCTGTATGGCATCCAACTACCTATGTCTGTATGGCATCCAACTACATATGTCTGTATGACATCCATCCAACTACTTATGTCTGTATGGCATCCAACTCCATATGTCCGTATGGCATCCAACTACCTATGTCTGTATGGCATCCAACTACCTATGTCTGTATTGCATCCATCCAACTAGCTATGTCTGTATGGCATCCAACTATCTATGTCTGTATGGCATCCAACTAGCTATGTCTGTATTGCATCCATCCAACTACCTATGTCTGTATGGCATCCAACTAGCTATGTCTGTATGGCATCCAACTAGCTATGTCTGTATGGCATCCAACTAGCTTTGTCTGTATGGCATCCAACTACCTATGTTTGTATGGCATCCAGCTACCTTTGTCTGTATGGCATCCATCCAACTACCTATGTCTGTATGGCATCCATCCAACTACTTATGTCTGTATGGCATCCAACTCTATATGTCCGTATGTCATCCAACTACCTATGTCAGTATGGCATCCAACTACCTGTCTGTATTGCATCCATCCAACTACCTATGTCTGTATTGCATCCAACTACCTATGTCTGCATGGCATCCAACTATCTGTCTGTATGGCATCCAACTCCCTATGTAGGTATGGCATCCAACTACCTATGTCTGTATGGCATCCAACTACCTATGTCTGTATGGCATCCAACTACCTATGTCTGTATGGCATCCAACTCCCTATGTCTGTATGGCATCCAACTCCCTATGTATGTATGGCATCCAACTACCTATGTCTGTATGGCATCCAACTACCTATGTCTGTATGGCATCCATCAAACTTCCTATGTCTTTATTGCATCCAACTACCTATGTCTGTATTGCATCCATCCAACTACCTATGTCTATGGCATCCAACTACCTATGTCTGTATGGCATCCAACTACCTATGTCTGTATGGCATCCATCCAACTACTTATGTCTGTATGGCATCCAACTCCATATGTCCGTATGTCATCCAACTACCTATGTCTGTATGGCATCCAACTACCTATGTCTGTATTGCATCCAACTACCTATGTCTGTATTGCATCCATCCAACTACCTATGTCTGTATGGCATCCAACTACCTATGTCTGTATGGCATCCATCAAACTACCTATGTCTTTATTGCATCCAACTTCCTATGTCTGTATGGCATCCAACTACCTATCTCTGTATGGCATCCAACTCCCTATGTATGTATGGCATCCAACTACCTATGTCTGTATGGCATCCATCAAACTACCTATGTCTGTAAGGCATCCAACTACCTATGTCTGTATGGCATCCATCCAACTACTTATGTCTGTATGGCATCCAACTCCATATGTCCGTATGTCATCCAACTACCTATGTCTGTATGGCATCCAACTACCTATGTCTGTATTGCATCCATCCAACTACCTATGTCTATGGCATCAAACTACCTATGTCTGTATGGCATCCAACTATCTATGTATGTATAGCATCCAACTAGCTATGTCTGTATGGCATCCAACTATCTATGTCTGTATGGCATCCAACTAGCTATGTCTGTATGGCATCCAACTAGCTATGTCTTTATGGCATCCAACTACCTATGTCTTTATGGCATCCATCCAACTACCTATGTCTGTATGGCATCCAACTACCTATGTCTGTATGGCATCCAACTACCTTTGTCTGTATTGCATCCAACTACCTATGTCTGCATGGCATCCAACTATCTGTCTGTATGGCATCCAACTCCCTATGTAGGTATGGCATCCAACTACCTATGTCTGTATGGCATCCAACTACCTATGTCTGTATGGCATCCAACTACCTATGTCTGTATGGCATCCAACTCCCTATGTCTGTATGGCATCCAACTCCCTATGTATGTATGGCATCCAACTACCTATGTCTGTATGGCATCCAACTACCTATGTCTGTATTGCATCCATCAAACTTCCTATGTCTTTATTGCATCCAACTACCTATGTCTGTATTGCATCCATCCAACTACCTATGTCTATGGCATCCAACTACCTATGTCTGTATGGCATCCAACTACCTATGTCTGTATGGCATCCAACTACTTATGTCTGTATTGCATCCAACTACCTATGTCTGTATTGCATCCATCCAACTACCTATGTCTGTATGGCATCCAACTACCTATGTCTGTATGGCATCCATCAAACTACCTATGTCTTTATTGCATCCAACTTCCTATGTCTGTATGGCATCCAACTACCTATCTCTGTATGGCATCCAACTACCTATCTCTGTATGGCATCCAACTACCTATGTCTGTATGGCATCCATCAAACTACCTATGTCTGTAAGGCATCCAACTACCTATGTCTGTATGGCATCCATCCAACTACTTATGTCTGTATGGCATCCAACTCCATATGTCCGTATGTCATCCAACTACCTATGTCTGTATGGCATCCAACTACCTATGTCTGTATTGCATCCATCCAACTACCTATGTCTATGGCATCAAACTACCTATGTCTGTATGGCATCCAACTATCTATGTATGTATAGCATCCAACTAGCTATGTCTGTATGGCATCCAACTATCTATGTCTGTATGGCATCCAACTAGCTATGTCTGTATGGCATCCAACTAGCTATGTCTTTATGGCATCCAACTACCTATGTCTTTATGGCATCCATCCAACTACCTATGTCTGTATGGCATCCAACTACCTATGTCTGTATGGCATCCAACTACCTTTGTCTGTATGGCATCCAACTACCTATGTCTGTATGGCATCCAACTACCTATGTATGTATGGCATCCAACTACCTATGTCTGTATGGCATCCAACTACCTATGTCTGTATGGTATCCAACTACCTATGTCTGTATGGCATCCAACTACCTATGTCTGTATTGCATCCAACTACCTATGTCTGTATTGCATCCATCCAACTACCTATGTCTGTATGGCATCCAACTACCTATGTCTGTATGGCATCCATCAAACTACCTATGTCTTTATTGCATCCAACTTCCTATGTCTGTATGGCATCCAACTACCTATCTCTGTATGGCATCCAACTACCTATCTCTGTATGGCATCCAACTACCTATGTCTGTATGGCATCCATCAAACTACCTATGTCTGTAAGGCATCCAACTACCTATGTCTGTATGGCATCCATCCAACTACTTATGTCTGTATGGCATCCAACTCCATATGTCCGTATGTCATCCAACTAGCTATGTCTGTATGGCAACCAACTATCTATGTCTGTATGGCATCCAACTAGCTATGTCTGTATTGCATCCATCCAACTACCTATGTCTGTATGGCATCCAACTATCTATGTATGTATAGCATCCAACTAGCTATGTCTGTATGGCATCCAACTATCTATGTCTGTATGGCATCCAACTAGCTATGTCTGTATGGCATCCAACTAGCTATGTCTTTATGGCATCCAACTACCTATGTCTTTATGGCATCCATCCAACTACCTATGTCTGTATGGCATCCAACTACCTATGTCTGTATGGCATCCAACTACCTTTGTCTGTATGGCATCCAACTACTTATGTCTGTATGGCATCCAACTACCTATGTATGTATGGCATCCAACTACCTATGTCTGTATGGCATCCAACTACCTATGTCTGTATGGTATCCAACTACCTATGTCTGTATGGCATCCAACTACCTATGTCTGTAAGGCATCCAACTACCTATGTCTGTATGCCATCCAACTATCTATGTCTGTATGGCATCCAACTACCTATGTCTGTATGGCATCCGACTACCTATGTCTGTATGGCATCAAACTACCTATATCTGTATGGCGTCTAACTACCTATGTCTGTATGGCGTCTAACTACCTATGTCTGTATGGCATGAGGTTTGTTGTGTACACTGATAGGTGTGTGAACCTATAGACCACGATTCACTGTGCAGAGTTGCGTCCCTTGGGCACGCCAGTAACCTATGATTGTGGGTTCGAATCACGGGTCGCCCCGATTACGTTTCTAGGTTTGTCAGCACCCTACCCGTGCTGGTAATCGTTTGAGACCTGCATCATTTCGGGCTTTCCTCCCACATTAAGCTGACACGCCGCGTTATAACTGGAATACTGTTAAAAGCGGCGTTAAACCAAACTATCTCACTCACTCACCCGATTCTTTCCTGTCTCTATTGTTAATCTGTCATGGGGTGACATATATAATAGTAATATAAAAGAATCGGGTAATCCTTAACATTCTTTTAGTCGTATATATGTCCGTTGGCAGAGATCCTTCTTTTTTTTGTATCAATAAAGGTGTTTTTTACCTCCGGGTTGGAGTAATAACCGGTTTCGGTGGATGGTGTTTACCATAACATTTGTAACCGAGAGTTACGCATTGGCGTAGGTTAAAACGCGAAGTCACGGTGACGGCCCATTCAGTTGTGGAAATTTCCATTTACACCCAGAGCCACTGACCTTTCAAACATTTCAGCAATGTGAAGTAGGTCAGGCGAGGGGGCTCAATGACAACACACTCATGTCACTATCTTTGTTCGGGTGGATTGTCGCGGTCTGCGGGCGGAGTTTCGTCCTAAGCCCCGGGGTTTATAGAAATAAGGGGTCACGGGTAGCCCAGTCGTCTTAGGCGCCGCACTTCGCTGTAAAAAGTTGCGTCCCTTTTCTGTGTCATGATCCTGTGATCGTGGGGTCGATTCCTGGATTTGCACAAATTATGATCATTGGTTGCATGGTTAGCGTCTTGCATATGGAATACTGTAAGGGACATTCTCGCGATCTCGACCTTTGGAAACAGCTAAATATGCGAGATTGCGAGAATGTCCCTTACAGTATTCCATACTTGCATGTACCCCTGCTCGTGGGATTATCAAAGTGGTATAAGTATATATTGTCCCTGAAATGCTTCAAAAAATATGTTGAAAAAATAGAGATTGCCTCTGAGCTTATGAGCACAATGAGTGTACGAGATGCATGTTTGTTTCTCTCCAAGTGCTATGTTAATTTTGTGTCAAAATCTGCAAGTTTGTAGAAATATTACCAACTGTGGGAACTCGATTACGATACGTTCTACAGAATGCATCAGTCTTACATAACCCGACCATACTAAACCAGACTTTCAGTCAGGTGAGCTAAAATACAATGTGAACATTATACATGTTATATATATCAGTCACTCGAATTTTAATTTGTATTGTCAAATGTAACATTTATGTCCAAATTCGAATCCTGCTTTGAATAAAAGCCACAAAACCCTTTCCGCAATCCACTGCACGATTCCGACTGGGAGCATAAGCATGTGTTTTTGAAACAGTCAAATAGTGATGGTACCAGGTGTCTTGTGCACGTACCCGCTCCACATATTCAATCTGTCCAGAAATAAAAACAGGTCTCTACTCCAGATAAACAACGGTACATGAATGACATGGGTCGGAATATTCTGGTCCATATATACGCACCACCAAAAGAAACGCGAATACCATACATTTTGGTTAATATACGAAGAATTACTGATATTCAAGAGATGTTAGATTGGTTCGACGCACAAGCGAACATACTGTTATGTTGCATGGACTGACGCTCATTAACGCATCACATGGGACGTCATAGACCCATGACTCGAGATACACCATTTGTCTCGTGCAGGATTAGCGTGTAAAGTTTGGAAATCACGTGCAGCACCTCGTGATAAGATTAAAGACACGCTGTGGTAACACTTGACTGAATGTTAGTTTTGTCATTAAGGTGAGGTGAAATTGGGTTCAACGTCGCGTCCAAGATTATTGCACTGTTTAGCGACGTGCATGCACGCGTGTGTGCTTGTGCTTGTGCTTGTGCTTGTGCTTGCATATACTAGTCCGGACTAATGCCGATTTATAGTGCTAGCTCACTGAGATACCATGGCGCAGTTTAACATGAATACCCCACTCAGTCACAGTATACTGACTCCGAGCCAACTAGTCCTTGTTTTAGCCCCTTTCTGCCGAGCGCCAGACAGGGTAACAACAAGTACCATCTTTAAACATCTTTTGGTATGACGCGGCCGGGGATCGAACCTGTCATTTAGTGTCACACATGGGAAACATCTTCTTAACGTACATATTTCTCTACGTGTTCTATGGGTCGCGTTTCTTTTGGCGGTGCGTATATACGGCCCAGAATATTCCGACCCATGTCGTTCATTCATAAATGTACTATGAGGCATGCGTGACGGAACACTTGCTTTGCCAGACTCCACGCTGTTGAAAAGAAAATAGCTAAAAGTGCTGAGTCATGGGGATTAGATCACAGTTAGGTTTGAGACAGTACATGCTCGAAGCTGCCAAGCACTTTTAGTACGCTGGATTCGGGGGTATAAACTGCTGGACATAGATAAGGGAACGCTTAGTTTTAGCCGCCGTAAAATGTATGCTGTCATAGGTTCCCAGCCTTGCCTACCAAATACTTGTTGGAAACAATGCACACAAACACATCTCAACATTTAATCCTGACGTGTGTTGAATTTGTATGCGCGCTATTACAAGTGTACTGTCAGTAAATCTTATTTCCCTATATGTTTCACTGTTCCCTTATTCGTTTCCATCAGTATATTTAGAGGATATTCGGGAGTCAGAAGTGTGGTACGCGGTACGCAAATAAAATCGTATTTGGTATATCTAGGTACTTATAGCAAACTTGTATTATGGACAAGCTGTAAATGGGCCAAGTTGCCCGAACACCTGTAAAACGTTTAATGATCAATCAATCAAACAGATTCAACATTGAAAGAAATCGTAGTGACCAAGGTCGGCTTAACCTCGATTATCCAGCTATATTTAATCCCCATGTTATTGTAAATAATGGGGTTATATGTGTCATAAACAATGAAGTACTTACACACTGGTTAAACGGGAATGGGGATTTGAGTTTCTTTAATCCGCAAATTTCATCACATCAGTTGGGTGTGGGTATCGATAAGATGCAATGTGCGACTGACTCATCCCACTTGCTCTGAATAGCCTCCATCAGGTGACAGCTGGCTTTTTATCACCTTGCGCAATCCAGAGTGGTGTCCCAGATCTTGGCCCATGTCAACTGTGGCTGCGGTTCGCTATATGTGCCGCTTGTATTAACTGAACCTCGGTGTATTGTGCGAAAAGTTCTTTACCCCGAGTACGGAGTGCAGTGGTGGAGTCGTATGTTTGGGATAGTTGTATGGTTTCTTTTGTGGAATATTGCTGATTCATTCACGTCTTAATCTTTTATAGTGTGTGTGTGTGATGAAATACTGTGATATATTTGACTACGATTAGCCTACATGTAGCTGGTTCAGTGAGGATGTGGTTGTGATAGCAACTCCATACATATACCATTGTTATTTGTTTAACGCTGCAATATCGCATCTCTTTGCCGGCGGTCTGTAAGTAATCGTTTCTGGCCAAGACAATCAAATGATTGACAGCATGAAGATCCATCTAAGCAATTGGGATATGATTACATGCATCAACAAAGTCCCTGACTTAAAGATAAGCAGATCAATACATAACAAATGGAACATTTCTTTTCTCGTGACCTGACACATTTGACATTTTAACTGTCGGCACCACTCGTGAAATATGAACTTTGTCAATTCACTCGCTCAGATAAACATGTAATTTGACCCAAACTAAAGGTCAAATAATCTCTACATATTAAAGCAACGGTTAGCGACATTTGATATTTCCATATTCGTTTTACACCACCATTGGAATAAATAAGTAAACATCATATTTTGATAAGAATCTGAATATAGGTCGGCTGATTGTCCCATTAAAAATACGCACAACTGCAAAATATCGCCGTCTGTCGATGCTTTAACGCGATCGCACTAACACTTATGCCTGGATAGTGTAGTTCAGGGGTTTCTCCCGAGTGTACTCTTCAGTCTTCAAGTAGGACAGGGTATTCAGTGACTCGACACTTTTGTCGGTATGAATGACAGAAGGCATGTCCCTATCGGTACAAGGGTCAAGGCTACACGGTATCTTTCCTCAGTGACGCGACGTTCTCGTTGTACAGGTCAAGTTGGCCTTGGCAGACACTATTGGCAAACTAAACATAATGCGAGAGTACTTTCCAACATGATTTTTGTTATTCGGTTACTTAGATAAAGAGGATTTCTTCAATTGTATTTGATAATTGGTTGGTTGGTTTGTTTGTTTGTTGTTTTACGCCGCACTCAGCAATATTCCAGCTATATGACGGCGGTCTGTAAACAATCGTACCCATTGTACCCATGTGGGGAATCGAACCCGGGTCTTCGGCGTGACGAGCGAACGCTTTAACCAGTAGGCTACCCTACCCCCCAATTATTGTGGAATGATATCTTACGTGGCGTATTAAGGGTTTTGAACAAATAGTTAGTCAACTTTCTAGTCCTATTGATACACAACGCGTTATGAATATTGGGTTTTGATTTAAACATAAATTTATTCACATAATGCGAAAATGTTTCGCTACAAGTTATGAATACAGAACCATGCCCGTCGATTGTCATATGTCCAGACGTTCAGGGGAATAGTAGAGTACAATGTGTATGGACAAGGCAGTTTGATAAGACTTATGGGTTGAACTGTTAACTGCGGGAAACAGCCAGTCTTCGTCGTATTCCAGCAAGAGTTACTTCCCGTGGTTAATTGATTAAATAAACGGACATCAGTTTATTCTGCACAAGGAAAGGTGAAAAAAAAGTACATGGTACGTCCTAAAGTTGGAAATTATTGCAGTTACTTGTATAAATTTACCTTTTTACAAGAAGAAAGTGTTCATTTTTCAGAATGGAGATTCGTTATTTGTAATCAGGATGGGGCTTTTGTTCGTTTTATTGTATTATCTTAAAATTATATCTTGTACGTTCATCGCAGGAAACACGTTTAGTCATCTTCCAAGGGCAAGGGAGATAACTCGCGTCAAGGTAGGTTTTAGTCATTTAAGTCCCTTACCTCGGGAAGCGTGAGTGAGTTGGGTTTAACACCGCATTTAACAATATTCCAGTTATATCACTGTGTGGTGATAGAGGGAGGGTCCAAGTGATGAAAGTCTCAGACGTTTACCACTTTGGTGAAACCTACGAGCATTGGTATATGGTGCTGACAAACCTAGAAACATAATCGGGGCGAACCGGGATTCGAACCCACAATCATAGGTGTCAGCTGCAGGTGTGCCCAAGGGAGGCAACAGCGAATTGCGGCGCTTTGGGCGACTTGGCCAACCGTCAACAAGATAGTTTGTCATATAATGGGGAGGTTTCTATGCAGGAGAAAGCCAAAGAATAAATACGGTATCCTGTTGGGACATTTTTGGATACATACATATGTAATAAGAGGTCAGGTAGGTACTTTCAGAATTTACAAACATGGCGTCGCCCTTGTCTCTTGGCGATCGAGTCAGAATTGACCATCGGGGATCAAATTACTGGGATAATTGGTATCATTATCATAATAATAGTCTAAGATGCCTAAAACAATTGTCTAACGGATCCTAAACAAGTGTCTAACGGGATCGGGTGGTCAGGCTCGCTGACTTGGTTGATGTATGTCAGCGTATCCCAATTATCATGATGTCAATCATTGGAGTGTCCAGTCCAGACTCGATTATTTACAGACCACCGTCTACTGACTCCCAAACCTGAGTCTGAGACCTGCATCACTTCAGGCTTTCCTCCCACAGTAAGCTGACACGCCGTGATATATCGGCGTAAAACCCAACTCACTCACTTGGGTGTACTAGAAACCTTTGATGCAACGTGATGCCGCATTGCCACATTAGTTTTATTTAAGATATATAATCGGCATATCTTTAAAAAAAATATTGACTCGTTTTCCTCCTCAAAAAGATTTATTCTTTGCTTTAACTACGTGACGAGGTCGCCATATTCCCTGTGCACAACCTTGAACTAGATCTACGCTCCCCGCATAAGGCCTACGTGATTTATCTCGGTGCAGTTAAACTTAACAGAAAACAAACTATCTAGGTCGATATGTAGGCTCATCACATGTATAATATTTGAAAAGTACACTAGTACTTGATCAGTTCACATGATTAATGTCGTGGCGCCTTTGTTGATCAAGGTGAATTTCTGTTTCATTTCAACTACCATGTATTAGTAAGGGAGAGGTTGAGTGTTTGTCCGTTATAGAGGTGTGTGCGTGTGCGTGTGTGTGCGCGTGCGTGCGCGCGACGTTGTGCGTGTTATGATGTTTGTTTGTTGTTTACGCCGCAATCAGCAATATTCCAGCTATATAACGGGGGTCTGTAAGAAATCGAGTCTGGATCAGACAATCCAGTGATTGACATCATGAGCATCGATCCACGCAAAAGGGATCGATGACATGCATCAACCAAGTCAGCGAGCCTGACCTGTAGACCTATCCTACCCCGGATCTTCACAGGTCGTATGTTTTGAGATGAGGTTGGAGGGGGTGGGGGCATGAAAACATGCAGTGCCGTAGCCAGCCGGGGGGCAGGGAGGGCAGTTGCCCCCCCCCCCCCCCCCCCACCCCCCCCCCACCCCACCCACCCTAGATGTTTTTATAGAAAACAGTTTAATAAATATTTGAACAAATATTCTCCCCCCCCCCCCCCCCCCCGTCAAAAAAAGTTAACTTGACATGTCAGTGAAAAAAGGGGGATGTCGCCAAAATTATTTAGGGGTCGGGGTGGGGCATGAAATATTGGCAGAACTTTCCATCTTTTCAAATAAGAAAATCCTGAATTTGGATGTCATTTAGGGACTGATATTTTATTAAAGTGTAGGGGTGGTGTGCTAATCGCGAGTGGTGTCATGAAATATGTTTAAATGTATGTGTGCGTGCGTGCGTTGATGAAAATTGTAACTGAACAAGGGAGAGGTTGTCAGCTAAACACGATATGTCCCATGACCAATCTCATCAAACTGGTTGCAGCGATGATCCCGGTAGGCCGGGTAAGGTTGGTGTCACGCGCTGGGAAAACGCTTGATGAAACTTCTCAAGCTCCTCACAGCGATATCCCGTTCGCAGAATTCTCTATACTATCGCTGCCACTAGTCAAAACTTCCCACTGTGATAGGTGGCCACAACCATGCTTGGAGTTGAACTCGCAACCGAATGACCGTTATGTTTACAAACAGGTGACGACTGTCGTGACGCCGAATACACTCACCCCTGCTAAAATACTTTCTTTGTTTGTCAAAGACATAAACAAAAGTATGAAAGTTACTACACTTGGGGTTAGAGGGCAGATTTCAAGATTCTTGTAATGGCCGCGCCCACAATGGTGGCAGCGATGTTACCGAGAGTGTAACGAAGGTGTCACGCGCTGGGAAGGAGCAGGGAAAATTCCAGCCTGCGACATAGTCCACTTGTAAACTGGGCCCCGTCTCTCAGATCGCAAGTTGACCACGCGCATAGGGAGCCGAAAACCAGTGCATATGTACACTGGTTCCATTGTTGGTACGAGTCACAAGCTTTGCGCTTTTATTAGTTTAGGTAGACAGGAGCCCAGTGAAGTATAGAGAGCTCCGCGAACGGACTATCGCTGTGAGGAGCTTGATGCAAATTCTGATTGGTGGTCTTTTTCTCAGCTGAGAAACATGCGACAGAGGTCCAAAGACGTAGAGTAAATACAGTTATAATAGCAGCCATGGCAGCAGAACACCCTTATATACCAGAAGACCTGAAATTACCTCACTATCGTCCGAACGACAAAGGGGTCGTTGAACTCCTGTCAGTATTCTTCGGTGTCGTCGGAGTGTTTATAGTTTTGACATGGGTTTATTCTGGAACAACGAAAAATCCGAGGTTTACATTCACACAGCGTTTAGTGTTATGTTGGTTTGTGCTCTGTGGTCTAATCCACACTTTCCTGGAAGGATACTTCGGTGTATTCCATGACGTTCTTGCTGGCGATATGTCCTTCCTCGGTCAACTGTGTAAGTACGGTCAAAGGGAGGTAATTTGTAGAATTTGGGAAGAGTTGTCTCCTCTTATCACGAATTATGATTTTGTCAACACATATGTATCATACATGTATTATGTTTGTTTAGAGGGTTTTTTTTACTAATCTCATCTACAAGAAATGAAATATGTGTTTAATCCAAGAAATATTATTAATTAGTATGTTTTCATACATATTTTTCATTGGGACATGAAAAACGATGAGTCAAGTCATACAAATGAAACTTAAACTTGGGTGCTGACACTTCAAGAAATACCACGTTATGTACTATGAATGCAAAATATCTAAACAATGGTTGATATATTGTCATATTGTGATAAGTATTTATACTGTGTATATGATGGTTAATTGAATTATTACATCAACAATGCTTTTTTGTTTCAGGGAAAGAGTACAGCATGGGTGACAGTAGATATATGAGGTTTGTTTGTTTGTATGTTTGTTTGTATGTTTGTTTGTTGTTTAACGCCGTATTCCAGCTATATAACGGCGGTCTGTAAATAATTGAGTCTGGACCAGACAATCCAGTGATTGACATCATGACCATCGATCCACACAATAGGGATAGGATGACATGCATCAACCAAGTCAGCAAGCCTAACCACCCGATCCCGTAAGTCGCCTCTTACGACAAGAATAGTCGACTTTTACGGCAAGCATAGGTTGCTGAAGACCTATTCCAGCCCGGATCTTCACGGGTCCCCTATTTTGAACTTACACACACACAAAATGTTCAAGAAAATATTTTGTATGTCTTATTGAAGTGAAAAATATTACATCATCAGCATTACATCCAACACCCTCACCCCAACTTCTCAGAGTTGACAGTCCATCTACCTGTCTGGATCTAATGTGAAGTTTAAGGAGTGATTAAACATCCTCACAATTAAAGTTTTAGCTCTGTGGGGAAAGGTGAGCTACTGTACCTCTGGGTTTGGTACCTATAGTTTTGAGGCCTGTATAACCATGATTACATGTTTTAATGGTTGTCAAGGGGCCACGGGTGGCCCAGTCTTCTTAGGCGCCGCGATTCACTGTGCAGGGTTGCGTCCCTTGGGCATGCCAGAAACCTATGATTAGGGGTTCGAATCCTGGTTCGCCCCAATTATGTTTCTAGGTTTGTGCGCACCATACCCGTGCTCGTGGGTTTAACCGAAGTGGTAAACGTCTGAGACCTGCATCACTGCGGGCTTTCTTCCACATTAAGCTGAAACGCCGTGATATAACTGAAATACTGAGAGTTAAAAAGCGGTGTTAAATCCAACTCACTCATGGTTGTCACACATTTGTTTTTTCAGTTCTGATGCATTCGTGGTGAGCATGGAGAGAATCACAGCCTTCGTTGACGGACCTCTGAGTTTTGTGACGGTGTTGCTGTACTTCCGGAACAGTCCCTACCGCTACATCATCCAACTCGTGGTCTCCCTGTGCCAACTGTATGGAGACACTCTGTACTTCATGACGGAAATATTTGAAGGCTTCTCCCATGGCTATATGTTCCATCCCCAGTATTTTTGGTTCTATTTTGTGACCATGAATATGTTTTGGATTGTTATACCCTCGTGTCTAATATGCCAGTCCTGCTACAAACTCGCCAAATCCCAAGCTCAAGTGGATAAGCTGAAAGCCAGTGAATACAAGGCAGCTATGGCTAGGCATGATAAGAAGAAGAAGCGATAATGTTAATGAATATAGGTTGTTTCTGTGTGTGCATATAGGGGCTCAACTCTGAGATCTGTTACTGATCTTGGACAAGGCAGCGTTTGTATGAACCATGGTATTGTGTATCCATATGTCACTCTTACTTTGAGGGGGCTCAGTCTTGTGTGTCCATATGTCACTCTTACTGTGAGGGGGGCTCAGTCTTGTGTGTCCATATGTCACTCTTACCATGCTTACTGTGAGGGGGCACTGGTGGCCCAGTCTTGTGTGTCCATATGCCACTCTTACTTTGAGGGGGGCTCAGTCTTGTGTGTCCATATGTCACTCTTACTTTGATGAGGGCACTGGTAACTCAGCAATTCACTGTGCAGAGAAACCTATGAGTGTTGGTTCGTTTACCAGATAATGTTTCTTGAACAATACCCATGCTCGTGGGTTTCACCAAAGTGAAAACGTCTGAGACCTGCAACACTTTGGGATATCCTCAAGCATTCAGCTGTCAGTATTAAACCCAACTCACTCACACCTACTTTGAGTTAGACTTTTTTTGGTTTGTCCAATTTTTGTTTTATATCAAGATCTTTCATCTGTGTACAATACAGTTGGCAGACATTGGTAGATTTTGCAATATCACTATGTAACTGTTATGATTATGATGATGTTGTAGTTTGGTTCAGGATAAAGTAACTTGTCATTTATGAATTCTTAAAAAGGACCAAATGAAATCTTATGATGTCAAGTAGTCTCCCTGAATCTTGAGAATAAATAAAACAATGAATCCGACTAAAGTCCAGAATAATTTGTCAAGTCTAGATTGCCTTAGCCTGAAATTATGCTTTTTCTGGGCTCCATTTGGATTTTATATTTTATTTTGTAGATATGTTTTTAAGTAAAATAACCTTATTTTTGTAACCATGGTAACTAAATGTTAGTATAGGTGCCAAGAAGTATTTTTGTTTATTAGTATTAAGCACAAATGTTTTTATTTTTTATATTTTGTTCAAGTTTTGCAATATAAATGATAAATAATTACTTCTGACATTAATGAGTTAATCTTGTTCCATGACAATTCTGTAGAAGCTATTTATCTGTATAAGTCAATCCACACATATATTTTCAATTTGGGATTTCTAGTGGATCTGAAGTCCATTGATAGATGAATGACTCTTTGCCATATCATGTTTATGCATAGTCTTACATATGCCTCAGTATCCTCAGCAACATTTTGTGCACCAGGTACAATGTTTTGTTTGTCTTTGTCTCTACAATGTGGTGACCAATTTAACTGACTGTTTTTCTTAGTTGTTGAGGGGGCACAGGTGGCCCAGTGGTCTGAGGCGGCGTGATTCGCTGTGCAGAGTTGCGTCCCTTGGGCATGCCAGAAACCTATGATTGTGGGTTCGAATCCCGGTTTGCCCCGATTATGTTTCTAGGTTTGTCAGCACTATACCCGTGCTTGTGGGTTTCACCAAGGTGGTAAACGTCTGCGACCTGCATCACTTTGGCTTTCCTTAAGCTGACACACCGCGATATAACTGGAATAATCTTAAAAGCGGCGTTAAACCAAACTCACTCACTTAGATGTTGAGCCCCTGTTGTTTATCCATACAATTACAGTAAATGTATACTGGATTGTTTAATCATTATAGGATACACACACAGTTACCTCATCTGTTTTTGTTTTGTTTCTTTAGAGTCACATTAAAACCAAATAAATATATAATTGAAATAAATGAAAGGAATTACTCCTTAAGTTCATTGCATACCCAAAACATTATTTAGCAGTCCTGTGAAGTATCTGTTTTAGGGACTGCCAACACGTTTTATGAGTGTAGGAATTCTCTGAGATTTATTCAGGTTTGTTATTCTGTGTTAACCTGAAAATAATTCCTAAACACAGGGATGGAAATAAGCTATCCTGGACCAGTTTTGTTAATGTTAAAGGTATCCTAAGGGCTGGTAGAATTTCAAACATTTTAGAGAGTACTGCTACATGGTATTACTATACCGGCTATAGTCTGTTGCAATATCGTACCGATGAAATGCAAATTAGATATAAATCCAAAAGTAACGATTCGTCTTAAATGGCATGAAAGTTTTTTATTTGTCCATACTTGATATACTCCATTGTGTGTTTTTACGATATCAAAATATTGATTTGTATTTATCATGCAATGTTTTCAATACATTTCAAACTTTAATTGATGATTGATAATTGTCATAATTTAATGTTTAATTTATAGAAATAAAAGTGTATTTATTAACTTTGGTGTCTGATTGTAGTCATGTATATATGTTATTTGTTTGTTTTAATGCCACATTCAGTAATATTCCAGCTGTATGACAGAGGTCTGTATATAATGGAGTCTGGACCAGACAATCCAATGATGAACATCATGGGGATCAATCTATGCAATTGGGATATGATGACAGCAACCCAGTGGCTGCCTACCCAATCCAGTTAGCCTCCTCTTATGACAAGCATCTGACCCAGATCTTCACTGGTGTATTATTTGTTAAATATCAGCTATTGGCTTAGTATTTCATCCAAAACAAAATACAAACTCATGACTTGAAAAATAAGGTAAATAATTTATTGAATATTTTGCATAAATAACATGTACATATTTGTGTACAACGCAAATGAGCTTGCACACTTTAGCCCATCCTTGAGTTTCTGAGGATAGTCTTATCTCCATGTTCAGTGAGCCAGATCATCAGAACACAACAAGGCATCTGGTCGAAAATGGCCACTCTTCCCGGACTACGTTCTCATATAGGCTTATAAGATTGATTGGAGATAAAATGCCTGGCATTTGTGTTTTCACTTTGCAATGTTGTGTCCAGATGATGAAGGCTTTCAACAGAAACACATGAAGACAAAACAAGGATGACTTGAGCCTTGAGAGACACCATGTGGACAGTGATAATGAAGAAACATTCACAGGATCAGTACGGGTGGAAACTGAACAGGCTAACTGTACTGTCTAGATACAATACTAGCTTAGTAACTGGTCATTTGTTATAGGGAGAGATTGGTTGGCTAAATGCCCTCCTCAATCAAAAATCAGCCCTATTTAATGGTTAGGTGAAGTGTGTGTTTTGGGTGTGTGTGTGTGTGGTTGGGGTTGGGGGGTGAGAGAGAGAGAATGGTCTTAAGACTGTACCACCTCCGTGGTCTAGAGGTAGAGCGTCCGCCCGGAGAGCGAAGGCCCTGGGTTCGATCCCCGGCCATGTCAAACCAAAAGACGTTAAATTGCTCAGAGTCAGTATACTGTGTTTGAGTCGGGTATTCATGTTCAACTGCGGCATGATATCTCAGTGGGCTAGCACTATAAATCGGCATTAGTCTTGACTAGTACAAGCAGCCACACACACGCGCTATATAAGTGCAATAATCTTGAATGCGACATTATACATAATTTCACCTCACCACTGTTAGGACTGTTTCGGGGGCACGGGTGGCCCAGTCGTCCGGGGCGCCCCGATTCGCTGTGCAGAGTTGCGTCCCTTCAGACGTGCCAGAAACATGACTGGGGTTCGAGTCCAAATTCACCCCGATTATGTTTCTAGGTTGGTCAGCACCATACCTGTGCTCGTGGGTTTCACCAAAGTGGTAAACGTCTTGAGACCTGCATCACTTCGGGCTTTCCTCTCACATTAAGCTGACACGCCGCGATATAACTGTAAAACTGTTAAAAGCGGCGTTAAACCCCACTCACTCACTCACTCACTAGGACTGTATCCTATTTTGCTGCCCCAATACACACCTTTATGTAACATTTTTTTTTTTTTTTTTTTCATGCCCCCACCATCAATTATAAATTGCCTGTCCCTAAATAAAGTTCAAAGAACTGTCATTTTTTCATGCCTGCCACCCCTTGTTGTGATAAACAGTGCCAACCCTCCCTCTCTTTCAGTGTCTTATTGTCATGACCCCCTCACATCCACACCCTCTCCATAATAGATGACCAGTCGCTTCATCTGCCCTAATGAACCACCAACATTAGAAGTCGTCAACTTTTCCATTAGAGAAACTAATTTCTGCATTGACAATATTTAATAATTGTACTTTTTCAATTCAGTTTTCCATCTAATAATTATTTTTTATATGTATACTAAATCTTCAATGCAATATGTTTGTGTTTCCCAGGGAAATAGTCTGTCACAAAGCCATAACAACAGTGCAGAGAAAAACAAACAAAAACATAATATATCTACAAGGATATACATGAACAAGATGAATAATTTACAAGTATATCATAATATACAAGATGTAAGGTCGACTGACCAACAATGAGATATCTAGTTTCAAGGCTCTCCATTGAGTTTAAGGCAAGTGATAATGTGTCAGCTTGATGGATGTATGTAGTAGTCATGTATTTCATCCTTCAGAATAACTTCAGAAGGGACATTTGATGGGAATCAAAGGGGCTATTTCACATCAACCTCATATAAGACAAGGACAAGAAAAAGATCTGTAGCTAGTTATCGGCAGTCAGTAACTTTCTTATCGTTCTCCAATCATGCTTACCCTTTTCGTGAACACCTGGTGTCATCGCTGATTTTCAGTGATCGACTCATAATTTTCACCGCAATTTTGCCTCAATCTCATTAAAATCAGACCTCAGTTCTCGATTCCGCTAAACAAAGATCTGAGGACATCCCATTAGGGGACTGAATCCATACAATCTAGACCATCTATTAGCCATTCCCGAATGTTCTTTTGATCAGGTTTCAAATCTGTAATCGAGAATTTGGCAAAATATGTTTCGAAGCGTAGTCGCCAATTTGAAATTAGTGCCGTAAAGCACAAGAAAGCTGCCTTCTGATTGGTCATTCCATTGGTCAGTCAAAGTTTGCGCAAGGTGAGTCTGACGTGACCCGTAATGGAATGTCCTCAGATCTTTGTTTAGCGGTAGCAAGAACTAAGATCTGATTTTAATGAGATTGATTTTGCCTTGTATGCCCATTAGAATCTGTTTTGTCGGATAATCAAGACTGGTACTTGTCTGGTTGACGTTTTGACGTTTTATTTTTACATTCTATGAGTGAGTGAGTCCTGACAAACATCATGGACACTCTGACATCATGGACATCATAGTTTTGTTTGGAGCCCAATTTGAATGACACAGGGATACAAAATAGCTGTCAAATCACATGACACTCATTAGCCAGAGAAAGTAAGTGATAGTGAGTGAGTAAGTGAGTGAGTTTGATGCCGTTGTTAACAGTATTCCAGTTATGTCATAGCATCTCAGCTTAATGTGGGAGGAAAGCCCGAAGTGATGCAGGTCAAGTGAAACTCAAGATGCTGCATCTGGCGACATTTATGAAAGCTGTTTCATCGCTTAGTTTAACCTATCTTAAATTCACAAATCTTTACAAATTACTGTTACTTTAATTAGCTACAAGATGACTTCTCTTCAAATGCTTACAATATAACTGAACAGAATTCATTGACATCGCTTTGAAGATAGATCTGATTTCAATCATCATATTTACCACAAATGATGAATTAATTGGTTGTGGTCTAGTAATAATAGTGGTCCCAGTGACCCAGTTGCAGCATTGCCTCCCTTGGGCACGCCAGGAACATGTGATAGTGGGTTTGAATCCCGGTTCGCCCTGAATATGTTACTAGGTCTGTCAGCACCATACCCATGCTTGTGGGTTTCACCAACGTGAAAAACATCTGAGACCTGCATCACTTTGGGCTTTTCTCCACATTAAGCTGACATGCTGTTATATAACAGGAATACTTTTCAAAGCGGGGATACGGGTGGCCAAGTTGTCGCGATTCTCTGTGAAGAGTGCTGCCCTTGGGCACGCAAGAGACCTATGATTGGGAGTTCAAATCCCAGTTCGTCCCAATTATGTTTCTAGGTTTGTCAGCACCATACCCGTGCTCGTGGGTTTCACCTAAGTGGTAAATGTCTGAGACATCACTTCGGGCTTTCCTCCCACATTAAGCTGACATGCATTGATATAACTGGAATACTGTTAAAAGCGGCGTTAAACCCAACTCACTCACTTACTCCCTGTTCAAAGCAGTGTTATACCCAACTCACTTTATTAATAATAGACTCTACTACCGAACACAGGTCTCGTCATCCTGTCAAACATTATACATTTCTGACCATTTATATCAGACCTTGATTAAGATTGCTACCAACATGATCATATATTTCTGTAGAAATATCAATAATGTTCGTGAACATGATGCAAACCTTGAATACTGGAAGATTGGAAATAATATTGCATATATGATTTTAAGAATTTGTGACGTGTTCTAAGGGGAGGTAACTAGTTCTATCGGCTAGGGTATTAGTGTAAGGACTGTTATGGAGTGTACACAGAGGTCTAACACTAAATGCAAGATCTTTCTCACGGTGAAGGAAAAAACTACAACTTGTGAAATTACCTGAGGTTTCTGTGTCAATTTGGGGGCACTGGTGGCCCAGTCGTCTAAGGCGCCGCGATTCGCTGTGCAGAGTTGTGTCCCTTGGGCACACAAGAAACCTATGATTGAGGGTTCGAATCCCGATTGCCTCGATTATGTTTCTAGGTTTGTCAGAACCATACCCATGCTCATGGGTTTCACCGAAGTGGTAAACGTCTGAAACCTGCATCACTTCGGGCTTTCCTCCAACATTAAGCTGACACGCCACGATATAACTGGAATAATGTTAAAAGGGGCGTTAAACCAAACTCACTCACTCACTCGTTCACTCTGTGTCAGTTAAACTTAATTTCTTTCAGATGAACACAATATTAATTATTTTGAAGATTCATTGACAGTTCCATTTCTCAAATGTCTTCACTGTCATTATATAAATGTCGTCTCTCGTACATAGAGAATTAACCTTACACATCACAATTTATGCACTTACTGGATTCTTTCACAATGTTACAGTGGCAATGCATCTTTGATCAAAATTACGAAGCTAAAGAATAAAAAAAATAAACATGTTTTGTTGTCAGAATTTGAGATGAAATGTCTGGCCATTCTACATTAATATTGCCAAACACTGCATTGATGCTAACTTGAAAGGACGACTATACTCGAAAACAACAAGACTGCTGGAAAGAGTGAGTGAGGAAATAAGGTGAGTTAAAGAATATGGAGCATATGTCTGCTCGTGCTTGGTCGGCCATAACCATACAAAAGTAGAAAAGTGAAAGGCACTAACTCATAATGGATGATCCCATCACTGCTAATACTCCTGTAAACTTGATAGTGATGAAGTTTGTTCTACATCATATACCGTTTCCCCACCCTGCATCCCCTACTGTTACAATTGATAGAAACTGTTTTATATTCATAATGTGTTCTTTGATCCCAATCTGACCCCACCCCAAAAAAGCAACAACAAAACCAGCACCTAAATTCAAATAAAACTAAAACCCTTATTTCACCATTGTTCTTTGTAGACCTTATGTATGAGATTTAGAGTAAATAAATTTGATGGCAACATGAACACATGAAATATTAATATGATGTCCATCAAGTAGAATGAACATATTGAATGAATTTGTCTGTGGCATGAAGAGAAGCACCAAAGCATTTCCAAGGAACCCTGGAATGAGGAACACGACACCCGGTCCTGTAATACATCAACTATCAATGGTCACAGGTTACCAATGTTCATAGCTGTTTACTTTTCTCATCGTCCCTGCATCAAATATAATGTATGCACTGTTCCTTCATTCATAAACCACTGAATGTAAGATGTCTATGACTATACTACTCAAAAGAAGTTAAAGAACACCTGATTTTTAGTTTGACTATAGTTAGTCTGTTCTGTTCAGGAACTTCCCATGAAACCAAGGTTTGAACAGGAGAGCCACCGCTCAAGCCGACAACAGAGATTTGTGTCCTTGTTTTTATCATTCCCTCAGTCTATCTGGCCTTGAGAGGTTAACTATAGTCATAGGAAAAAATCGGGTGTTCATTAACTTATCTTGGGTAGTATTTATGATTCTGTACATGTCTATACACATAATTCTAAAGATAAAATTACAAACCGGTAAGATATGATTTGAAGGCTTAAAACAATCCACGCAATGTACAACCCTGACAGAATGTATCAATGTAAGAATGTAACAATAGCATCTGTAGCAGGCATCCATGTAAGCAAATAACGATAAATCTACTACACTAGAGTCAAGGTCATATAAAAACTGCAAACAAATCCACTACAACATACTAACACACTCACACAACCAAGATAAATAGAATACATTTTCAAAATGTTCTTTGCACAGTCTCTAAGCTGCTCAAAAGCTTGAACCAATATACATAACTACAACATCAGACTGTGACTAGAAATATTTTGAAAACGTAGCATCATATTCATATGAATAAACAGATATGGGTTCTACATGATTTATATATTATGTGAATATCACTGGAAGTAATGTCAAATGCAATGTTTCACTGTCTGATGACAAAATAAACAATTTTCAAACAAAATATTTGTAATCACAGTGAGGCTTGTCTCTTCCTGATCATTGACGGCACCTTACCAAAGCTCATACCCCCATTACAGAGTTTAGGACAGTTCCTGTAAATGGCCTACAGAGGATTAAATCTGCTGTATCTGCCAGTGTTCTTACAATAAGAAATTACTCTTACAGAAAGGTTGAACAGGAGATTCTCTATTGAAAAGGCTTAGAATTGAATACAGTGAAAGATAGATTTTCAATGAAATATACTATAACTTCACATTGTGTTGGCAGAGTAATTCGTAGGTATTTATTTGAAATCTGGTTTGATCTAACAGAATGATTTACAACAAATAAAACTCACCATGTCAAGCTAGCTGCAGAAATATTTACCTTCCCATGTAACCCTGATATGAAGGATCAAATATTGTTCCCCCAATGTAAACCTAATGTCAAGGATCAAATATTGTTTCCCATGTAACCCTGATTACAAAGATCAAAAATTGTTTCTTATGTAACCCTGATTACAAGGATCAAATATTATTTCCCATATAACCCTGATGACAAAGATCAAATATTGTTTCCCATGTAACCCTGATTACAAGGATCAAATATTGTTTCCCTCATGTAACCCTGATTTCAAGGATCAAAATGGAGAAATGGATGTATGAGCCGAGTGAGGAACAAAACAAAACAAAATATCCATGAAACTCTCTAGATAGTCAGCGAGTTTAACCTGCTCATTATGTTACCATGTAAACGACAACCCTACATGCTGGGTATAGAGCTGAAACAGCCACATCAAAACACATTTCAATCCCATGTCCTTGTGAATGTCTAATTGTACAACATGGCCCTCTTTCGGTGGCACACTTTGATTAGGATATTCACACTATTGAACTTGCAGTGTGTCTGGTTCTGTCATCACTTTACAGGATGAATAATGGATCATCCTGCAAATCGATTCAACTTGCGTGTTCAGTTCAAAATATGTTTTGCAGAGTCTGTTTTGGTGTTTGTAATGCTAAGTGCACTTCAGAGTGTCTGCAAGGCTCATCTTCATCTTGTGTGCATGACTTAATTCATCATAAGTGTCTTCCGGCCAGGAAATCACAAAGCTGCTTGCACCATCACATGACCATGCCAAGACTCCAGAACTGACATTAGTCTTGAATCAGAGACAGTGATCCTCCTCTCACAAACAGTCTTGCACCATCACATAGCAGAGCTCCGGTCATAGACCTCTGGAAATAGGCTTGTTGGTTCACCTCAGTTCCAGCAATTGTTCACCTGTACTTCATCTGTTATCTATGTCGGTCACTAAGTCCTTTACATGTTGATCAGATGTGTGGGAAGTCAGTCCCGCATCAGTAGAACTGTCACCTTGAACATGTTGATAGCAGAAGTGTGAGAAGTCAGACCAGTTGGCAGAATTGTGACCTTGAACATGTTGATAGCAGAAGTGTCGGAAGTCAGTCCAGCATTGGTAGAACTGTCACCTTGAACATGTTGATAGCAGAAGTGTGGGAAGTCAGTCCAGTTGGTAGAACTGTCACCTTGAACATGTTGATAGCAGAGGTGTGGGAAGTCAGTCCAGTTGGTAGAACTGTCACCTTGAACATGTTGATAGCAGAGGTGTGGGAAGTCAGTTCAGTTGGTAGAACTGTCACCTTGAACATGTTGAAAGCAGAAGTGTGGGAAGTCAGTCCAGTTGGTAGAGCTGTCACCTTGACTCTTTTTTTCCCATTGTATTCTGCACTTGGTAATAACATCAGTTTGTCTTTGTGAAAACTCTTTCTTCCCACTGCATTATCCACTTGGTCAAAAAATCAGTTTGTCTCTGTGAAATATCTTTCTCCTTACTGCATTCTCAACTTGGTCAAAACATCAGTTTGTCTCTGTGAAAACTCTTTCTTCCCACTGCATTATCCACTTGGTCAAAACATCAGTTTGTCTCTGTGAAATATCTTTCTTCCCACTGCATTCTCCACTTGGTCAAAACATCAGTTTGTCTCTGTGAAATATCTTTCTCCTTACTGCATTCTCCACTTGGTCAAAACATCAGTTTGTCTCTGTGAAATATCTTTCTCCTTACTGCATTCTCCACTTGGTCAAAACATCAGTTTGTCTCTGTGAAATATCTTTCTTCCCACTGCATTCTCCACTTGGTCAAAACATCAGTTTGTCTCTGTGAAATATCTTTCTCCTTACTGCATTATCCAGTTGGTCAAAACATCAGTTTGTCTCTGTGAAATATCTTTCTCCTTACTGCATTATCCAGTTGGTCAAAACATCAGTTTGTCTCTGTGAAATATCTTTCTCCTTACTGCATTATCCACTTGGTCAAAACATCAGTTTGTCTCTGTGAAATATCTTTCTCCTTACTGCATTATCCAGTTGGTCAAAACATCAGTTTGTCTCTGTGAAATATCTTTCTTCCCACTGCATTCTCCACTTGGTCAAAACATCAGTTTGTCTCTGTGAAATATCTTTCTTCCCACTGCATTCTCCACTTGGTCAAAACATCAGTTTGTCTCTGTGAAATATCTTTCTCCTTACTGCATTATCCAGTTGGTCAAAACATCAGTTTGTCTCTGTGAAATATCTTTCTTCCCACTGCATTCTCCACTTGGTCAAAACATCAGTTTGTCTCTGTGAAATATCTTTCTCCTTACTGCATTCTCCACTTGGTCAAAACATCAGTTTGTCTCTGTGAAATATCTTTCTCCTTACTGCATTCTCCACTTGGTCAAAACATCAGTTTGTCTCTGTGAAATATCTTTCTCCTTACTGCATTCTCCACTTGGTCAAAACATCAGTTTGTCTCTGTGAAATATCTTTCTCCTTACTGCATTATCCAGTTGGTCAAAACATCAGTTTGTCTCTGTGAAATATACTTCTCCTTACTGCATTCTCCACTTGGTCAAAACATCAGTTTGTCTCTGTGAAATATCTTTCTCCTTACTGCATTCTCCACTTGGTCAAAACATTAGTTTGTCTCTGTGAAATATACTTCTCCTTACTGCATTCTCCACTTGGTCAAAACATCAGTTTGTCTCTGTGAAATATACTTCTCCTTACTGCATTCTCCACTTGGTCAAAACATTAGTTTGTCTCTGTGAAATATCTTTCTCCTTACTGCATTATCCACTTGGTCAAAATATCAGTTTGTCTCTGTGAAATATCTTTCTCTTTACTGCATTCTCCACTTGGTCAAAACATCAGTTTGTCTCTGTGAAATATCTTTCTCCTTACTGCATTATCCACTTGGTCAAAATATCAGTTTGTCTCTGTGAAATATCTTTCTCTTTACTGCATTCTCCACTTGGTCAAAACATCAGTTTGTCTCTGTGAAATATCTTTCTCCTTACTGCATTCTCCACTTGGTCAAAACATCAGTTTGTCTCTGTGAAATATACTTCTCCTTACTGCATTCTCCACTTGGTCAAAACATCAGTTTGTCTTTGTGAAATATACTTCTCCTTACTGCATTCTCCACTTGGTCAAAACATCAGTTTATCTCTGTGAAATATCTTTCTCCTTACTGCATTCTCCACTTGGTCAAAACATCAGTTTGTCTCTGTGAAATATCTTTCTCCCCACTGCATTCTCCACTTGGTCAAAACATCAGTTTGTCTCTGTGAAATATCTTTCTCCCCACTGCATTCTCCACTTGGTCAAAACATCAGTTTGTCTCTGTGAAATATCTTTCTTCCCACTGCATTCTCCACTTGGTCAAAACATCAGTTTGTCTCTGTAAAATATCTTTCTCCTTACTGCATTCTCCACTTGGTCAAAACATCAGTTTGTCTCTGTGAAATATCTTTCTCCCTACTGCATTCTCGACTTGGTCAAAACATCAGTTTGTCTCTGTGAAATATCTTTCTTCCCATTGCATTCTCCACTTGGTCAAAACATCAGTTTGTCTCTGTGAAATATCTTTCTCCTTACTGCATTCTCCACTTGGTCAAAACATCAGTTTGTCTCTGTGAAATATCTTTCTTCCCAATCCATTCTCCACTTGGTCAAAACATCAGTTTGTCTCTGTGAAATATCTTTCTCCTTACTGCATTCTCCACTTGGTCAAAACATCAGTTTGTCTCTGTGAAATATCTTTCTCCTTACTGCATTCTCCACTTGGTCAAAACATCAGTTTATCTCTGTGAAATATCTTTCTTCCCACTGCATTATCCACTTGGTCAGTCAAAACATCAGTTTATCTCTGTGAAATATCTTTCTCCCACTGCATTCTCCACTTGGTCAAAACATCAGTTTGTCTCTGTGAAATATCTTTCTCCTTACTGCATTCTCCACTTGGTCAAAACATCAGTTTGTCTCAGTGAAAACTCTTTCTTCCCACTGCATTCTCCACTTGGTCAAAACATCAGTTTGTCTCTGTGAAATATCTTTCTTCCCACTGCATTCTCCACTTGGTCAAAACATCAGCTTGTGTCTGAGAAATATCTTTCTTCCCATTGCATTCCTACGACTGAGAACTTCATCAATGTCCTCTGATTGCAGTCTGGTAACAGATGAATGCATCCAAGCCTTCCCCTTGATCAATCACGCTACAAGTGACGCTACAAGTGGGTCGATGCTCCCATGCCTTCTTTGATGAATCTATCAACGGGCTGATCTGTCCATGCCTTCATTGATGAATTTAGCAACAGGTCAATGCATTCTAGACTTCCTCAGTAACCTAGCAACAGGCTTGTATTCAGCCCAACATAAACCTAGACTATTATCGATGCCTTCTTAGATGAATCAAGCAACAGGTTGATTCATTCAAGCCTCTCCAATGAATCTAGAAACAGATTAATGCTTCTAGACTTCCCCAATGAATCAAGCAATGAGTCGGTGCATCCATGCCTTCTTTGATGAATCTAGCAATACCTTGATTCATCCAAAACTTCCCAAATGAATCCAGCAACAGTTCGATGCATCCTAGACTTCCTTGGTAACCTTGCAACAGGCATGTGCTCCCTTAAACATACACCTAGACTACCATCCATGCCTTCTTTGATGAATCTATACATACATTGATCCATCCATGCCTTACCCGAAGAATCTAGCAACAGGTCAATGCATATATACATTCTTTGAGGAATCTAGCAATACCTTGATCCATCCAAGCATTCCCCAATGAATCAAGCAAGAGGTTGATGCACCCATGCCTTCTTTGATGAATCTTGCAACACCTTGAACCATCCAAGCCTTCATTGATGAATCAAGCAACAGGTCGATACATCCAAGCCTTCACCAATGAATCAAGAAACAGGTTGATACATCCAAGCCTTCACCAATGAATCATGCAACAGGTTGATACATCCGAGCCTTCTTTGATGTATCTAGCAACAGGATGATCCATCCAAGCCTTCACCAATGAATCAAGCAACAGGTCGATACATCCGAGGCTTCATCGATGAATCAAGCAACAGGTCAATACATCCTGCGTGTGTTCCCTCCAACATACACCTAGACTATCAGTGACTGCCCCAAACAGATTCCTCACTGAAGAAGAATAACATTTCTTTCCAACATTCTACAGGTCCATGATCCCTAATATTAACGTCCTCACAGAAATCATCACCTCATTAAGGCTCAGTGAATAAAAACAACAATTTTACAGTATGTACATTATGGAAGGCCAATTGTTTGACAAAATCTGACTTTTCTAAGCTCTTAGTCAGCAGTGTTGAACACATCCTGCCAAAATGTTGCTTTTCCTTGCACACAAATACAGTAAATGTGTAATATCCGCTTTGGGGACAAGACCTTGGCATCAGGAATGACCCTGACATTGATTTATCCACATAGAGGACTATAATCCACACATACTTCATGAATGTTGAAACATCTTATAGTTAAGCATGCATGCAGTCTGTATGGAAACTGAAAGAGTTGATCTTTGGAGAACTACATCACTTGATTTGAAGATCAATCATCTTGAACAGGTATAGTTAAACAATATATCATTAGTATTAACAAAATCAGGTATAGATTCTTTATATTAGTTTCCATTATTTCAATGCAAATATCCTTCCACTCTTGAAGAATCAAGCAAAAACAACAGCTGGCTATAACAAACATCCGTTACGTTCACACGTCAACACTTCTTGACACTTGAGGAACTGGCTACAATATCACTTTAAAAACACTTGTTGATCCTCAGCAAATTTGAAGATGTACAGGCAACATTATCCATGGATAGCTAGACGAGGGTCTGTTGTGAATGTGTTGACATGGACTCAGTAGGGATGGATGAGGCATGTATTCCATGGCCAAACTCTTGTTGGTACGCTCTTGTGTTTCAGCCATTATCAAGATTCCTGTATCCAAGATGGCGCCTGGCTAACTTCTTGCCTTTTCCTTCTTTGCTAGGACAGAAAACTTTTTAAAAGCAGTAGCGCCAAAAGTAGTGATGATACTCGATGCCTCCTTCCTCCACACGTGTTACCCTCCTGCAAAAACATACAAGTCTTAGAGAAGGTGAATGACATTCTTATCATTATCGATTATCAGTGTATATGGTCACTACCCAAGTCATGTTCGATTGACACACCAGACCAAAAGTAGGTGTCCAATCAAGTTACACTGTTTTTTGGCCAAAACAGATACCTCTTGTACTTGTCTTGTCATGTTGAATACTGTCTTCAATACAACTGTGATTGACTGATTGACTGACTTTAGTTAAACATATTGGGGCCTATTGAACTCCTTTAGTTAAACACATTGGGGCCTATTGAACTCCTTTAGTTAAACACATTGGGGCCTATTGAACTCCTTTAGCTAAACACATTGGGGCCTATTGAACTCCTTTAGTTAAACACATTGGGGCCTATTGAACTCCTTTAGTTAAACACATTGGGGCCTATTGAACTCCTTTAGTTAAACACATTGGGGCCTATTGAACTCCTTTAGTTAAACATATTGAGGCCTATTGAGCTCCTTTAGCTAAACACATTGGGGCCTTTCAAGTTCCTTCAGCTAAACATATCAAGACTCATCAAGCTCCATTAGTTAAACACATCGAGACCTATCAAGCACCTTTTGTTAAACACATTGAGGCCTATCAAGCTCCTTCAGCTAAACATATCGAGACCTATCAAGTTCCTTTAGTTAAACACATTGATGCCTACTGACCTCTTTTAGCTAAACATATCGAGACCTGTCAAGCTCTTTTAGTAAAACACATTGGGACCTATTAAGTTCCTTTAGTTAAACACATTGATGCCTATTGACCTCCTTTAGCTAAACATATCAAGACCTATCGAGCTCCTTTAGTTAAACACATTGAAGCCTATCAAGCTTAATTGGCTAAACATATCCAGGCCTATCAAACTCGTTTAGTTAAACACTTAGAGGTCTGCCTTGTTTTTTAACATAGGTCTTTACCAAACACTTGTTCAAAAGATTCATTCTGATAGGATGTTGATTCAAGAGCAAAAGTATTTCACTGCTTAGCTATGAATTGTCAACAATCAACAATCATAACAATGACTGCATCTAAATAACTTCATCAAGTGAAGAAACAAGGCAGCACTCTGTCATATTTCTGTCTGTCTACTTGAAGACGATAAAATGAGATATAACTAACATGCAATGTTTAATTTTAATTCACCCTGAAAATAGAGCAAAACTATTTTTCTCCGGGTGAACGCTCTACCACTAGACTATGGAGGTGGTCCCCTATTTATAGGCACAAGAAATCAGCTCCAAGTCTGAAATTCACTTACCTCTATTGTTGAGTCGTAACACTTTGTCTGTCTGGGTGGATGTGACAGTTTGGACACTCGCTTACACTTCTCCTCTTCTGAATGTGATCAGTGTTAAGGGAAACTGAATCCTTTTTAGTCTGCTCTCACAACAAGCATGGGGTACTGGGACTATTTGGACCACCCAATCCTCTGTAGTCTGTTCTTACAACAAGCATGGGGTACTGGGACTATGTGGCCCACTCAATCCTCTTTAGTCTGCTGTTCAATAAGCATGGGGTACTGGGACTATATGGACCACTCAATCCTCTTTGGTCTGCTGTTCAATAAGCATGGGGTACTGGGACTATATGGACCACTCAATCCTCTTTGGTCTGCTGTTCAACAAGCATGGGGTACAGGGACTATATGGACCACTCAATCCTCTTTAGTCTGCTGTTCAATAAGCATGGGGTACTGGGACTACATGGACCACTCAATCCTCTTTGGTCTGTTCTTAAAACAAGCATGGGTTACTGGGACTATTTTGACCACTCAATCCTCTTTACTCTGCTCTTACAACAAGCATGGGGTACTGGGACTATTTGGACCACCCAATCCTCTTTAGTCATCCATTACAACAAGCATGGGGTACTGGGACTATTTGGACCACCCAATCCTCTTTAGTCATCTATTACAACAAGCATGGGGTACTGGGACTATATGGACCACTCAATTCTCTTTAGTCATCTATTACAACAAGCATGGGGTACTGGGACTATTCGGACCACCCAATCCTCTTTAGTCATCTATTACAACAAGCATGGGGTACTGGGAACGATGCTGACCCAGAATACCCACAGGCACACCACATAAAGGATATATTTAATCTTCTCTGGAGTGATGGACGTTTCATCCCCTTCTCCACAGCTGCAGTTGGCAGCTGCCACCACCAGGATCATGTTTGTGTCGCGGATCCAGCGCACGATGTACGTCCTGTGACATTCAATTCGTGGAGAGAAAAACACAGACTGTTAGTATCACAGATCCAAACACAAACATGTTTACACCATATTTCGTCTTGTCCACGATACCTGCTAAGAACTGTTGCTTGATTATTCCAAGATGATGTATCAGAGTTAGTTTGGAACTTTGAGATGCATCATGCATACTATAGGTATGACTATGACTTGAGTATGCAGAAGCAGACAGGACAACCCCTTACCGAAGCATGCAGGTTTAATATACTTGAAAATCATTATATTATCTAAAATAGTTTTACATTTGAAATAAACAAATCATAATTCACCATGGGGCTATGTTATTTCAACCTTCTTTCAATGTCAAAATGATTCTACAGATTTGTCTACAGGGCAGATAGTTATTTTTTCATCAAACTTTTTCATTTAGAATAGCATAATTTATACTGAGTGACATTTTATGCAAATTGAAAGTCTAATCTATGAGTGTCTGCTGTAGCAGTGCTGAAATAAATATAGAAATGAAATAAATATTATGGAATGTTTTCACAAATATATTTGATGACAGGAAATCAATTTCTTTTGCCTGTTCAATTTATAAGAAACTCAAATATGTCGCACATATATCCTCTTATATCATCTCGAGAAAATGTCAAGATGATAATTTGTATAGGTTATGATAATTTTGAAAATATTTTATCTTCTAAATCTCACAAGGAGGTGAAAATGTTCCATGATCCATATGAGTGTCAAAGCTATGAATAATAATCAACCACAACTAGCTATGACACTAACTGTATGCCCATGCTGCAAAAAAAGGAACATTTCAAATGTGCATAAAGTGAATTTTAGGTGAGTAAAAGTTGAAAATTCAGCTGAGTATTTTTTTATCTACAAAACAAGCACACACTTTAAAAGAGCCTGGACATTACTTTTTATTCACAATATGAACAATGGATATCATTTTTAAATGAACAAAATGTTGTTTGGCTAATGTTTGATAAAAAAATGTCTGGAAATATGGCTGCCAAATTCAGCCAAAGGGAGATAAGTCATTCCAACTTACCTGCCCAATCACGTCCTATACACAATAACAGGATCTTTTCAGCTATATCTTGTCATCATAGAGACATAATAATCAGAAATGCCTTTGTTTGTCCAGTATCTTTTAAAATATGAATGCCCTAGCATGAATTTTCTACTGTAGACATTTTCCTAACACTGTCTATCAAAACACATCTATATTATAAATACATAAGAGGCATTCAGTCACTATCTATTCCAAACACAGTTGTGTATTTGCAGAGTGCTTGTTTTCATATACACTGTAAATGTTTAATCCTTATTTGAAATTTCCTTTTTTCTATTCTAAAAAACACAAGTATACCATTGCACTATATTGCGCGAGCAAAAGTTGAAAACAGTGATTGTCAGTAGTTTGAGCCAGTGAATAGTTCCAATGGCTATGGTTTAGTTTCAACCAAAAGAACACAAACCTCAATGTACTACCGTCAAACAAATATGCTTTATGTTTTTAAAAAATAAATTTCCTAAAATAATTAAAATTTAAAGAGTTCATGCTCGTCAACAATGCTGTTGAGAATGCTGTTGAAAAATCATTCCTCAAATTTAAAATGATTTTATAGCGTATTTAAGAACTGAAAACTTGAGCATCAGAAAGCAGTACCATGCATGTACATGCAAATTATCAACAACTGGCAGCAGCTACACAGATCTCGATGTAGGACTTAGTTCTCTTTGCAATGAACATATTAACAATGACTACTTTAACAAAGTCACTATTGAACCACCTAGCAAAAGAAATATTGCAAATGGAGTAGTTCTAATACAAAACATTTGAAAAATCATGAAATACTTCAACATCAACGGTCTAAAGATTAAAGGACCAGTGTCTAAATTTATTTTGACTGAATTCTTAAAGGTATTTTTTAAGTAAAAGATTGATTCAATCAAATGTTTAAAGATCTTTACAGAATAACAGATTCAGTTGACCCTGAAGGCACAACTGTATGTCTGCCGTTCTACTTTTTCAAATAGTTCTGAGTTGATGCGAAATGTAAGATAGAAACATGAATAGAACATCACATCCAGATCTTACAAAGTTAAGTCCAAGCTTAAACAGTGAGGTGTAAACATATCGCGACCGAAATGGCAGCCATGTATATACTTACCGCTGTTTCCAAATATATAGAAAACTGTAATATCCAATTTACAAAACTAGTCATAGGGAAAGTAGCACAAAATGCTGCCATTCTGCACTAGTGCAATGGTACAGTTGCGTTTTAAGTACCAAAGGTATTGAGGAAGATAGTATGAAAATTGCATTGAACAGTAAATATGTGTTGTAGGATAATAGTATGTATGATGTATAAAATTTGTGAAAAATCAGCTTGTCAGTGTGCTATTATCTGCAGTGATCGAGGCACATGGGGCAAGACAAATTGGAGCAAGATTTGCAACACTTCTACACTCTCTGAAACAAAAGTACTCAACAAAGTATACTACCCAAAAGAAGTTAAAGAACACTTGATTTTTTTATGACTTCAGTTAATCTGTCATGACATGACAGATTAACTAAAAATCATATGTAGAATCGGGTGTTCTTTATCTTCTTTTGAGTAGTATAATATGACAGATTAACTATTGTCATATGAAAAGATCTGGGCCCTGTTCCACAAAGCGATCTTAGTGCTACGTTGATCGCAAGCCTATGTATGAAAAAGTATGGGAGTTACGATAAACTTAGCACTAAGATCACTTTGTGGAACAGGTTGCAGGTGTTCTTTAACCTCTTTTGAGTAGCATATAGGACTTGAAAAACATCAGTACCAAATTGCAGATATATCAGAGCAACTTATGAAGTGATAATCAATTATCATTTGCTGAAACATTTCAGCATCTATAAAGTATTTAATATGGAAAAAAGTAAATTCTGCCCTGCCTGCTGATAAATCAATGCCCTAGTCAATACTTTGACACACATATGAAATTGTAAGTTTTTGTAAACGTTTATGAACTTTCAGAAGAGATAATGTTTTAGAGTTTCTATTTTGTATTAAATTTCATGAATCAAACAGCTGAAATATAATGATTGCTGTGAAAAACATTCACTTTTCATTCCAATATATTGCAACTGTTTTATTTAATAACAAAATAAATGCATGATGTATTATTTTTTATGAAAATCAATTTCAGCTGACATATAGGTCCATGAAATAAACATATCATTAATTTAATCACACATCTGTGACGATGTTATGAAATGCATTTTTTCTATCAATTTTATAAGTATGCAAAATATTTACAATCAGATTTCAATCAAAAGCAAAGTTTCATCACCAAAATCATTCGGGGGAGAAAAGGAAGAGTTTGATGTTTCTGCCAGAACACACTAAAAAAACAAATTATCAGAAATTAACGGTTCACATGGAAGTCAAGCTGACCAATATGCTTTTTTTTAATCAGTGAAAACCAGATTAAAAGAAGTAGCTCAGATAGGAAACTAAACCTGTATCACAATCCAAACAAATATTTCAAGAGTTGAAAATATTAATGATACCATACCAAAAAGTGATTTTTCAATTAAAAAAATACAAATATATAAGCAATAGGATGATGAAATTGCAGGTTTTTAGACAAAAACAGGAATGGGAAGTTGTAGAAAGGTTGCAAAATTCTTCCAAGATGTCTGCCATGTCATGCCGAGGTTTCTATCTCCACTGCAGTTGAACTAAACAGGGCTACGAGAGCTAATCAGAAACAATTGGAGCACACTCACATGCAGAATGGATGGGGCGGTCACATGACATTGCACATATCACAAGAAATAAGCACGATGGAACAAAGTAGTTTCTTAAGGTCAAAGATACACAAAGCATCCACTGAAAAATTCAATTTCTAAAGTGAAATAATATATAATTCCAAATTTCAAAAGTAAATTTTGTATCTTAAATGCTAGATTTTGTAATCTGTAGACAGTCATAACTATATTAATATATTTTTGATAATAGGTTAAAAAACAGAAAATTTGCCTGTTACGCTCTGTAAATGTTCTTGGTTATCCAATATGAATGACAGAAATCAAAATACAGAGGGTGAAACAAAGAGCTTCCATCTAACTTAATCCCTGTGTGATTCCGTCTAACTTAATTCTCCTGTGATATGACCATGTCATGGATTATCTACTTATCTAATGCCAAACAATATCTTCGGCATTTTAGAGTTTCCTCGAGACTACAACTGCAGAAAAGAGTGTGTATCATATTTTATCATTAGACCATTCAGCTGACACATTCTAAAGTCAGTTTTATCATTCTACCAACAAATCATGGACTCCTCACATTCATCATCTGAAAAGTATTCAATTATTCCCTCATTTTTGATCAGTGTGTGTCCTTTTTCCCATTTTCTCTCTCACAACTGTGTGTGTCCTTATCACATTTTCTCTCACAACAGTGTGTGTCCTTATCACATTGCCTCTTTCACAACAATGTGTGTCCTTATCACATTGCCTCTCTCACAACAGTGTGTGTCCTTATCACATTTTATCTCTTCCAACAATAGTGTCACAACAGTGTGTGTCCTTATCACATTTTCTATCTCAACAGTGTGTGTCCTTATCACATTTTCTCTCTCACAACAGTGTGTGTCCTTATCACATTTTATCTCTTCCAACAATAAGTGTCACAACAGTGTGTGTCCTTATCACATTTTCTCTTTCACAACAGTATGTGTCCTTATCACATTGCCTCTTTCACAACAGTGTGTGTCCTTATCACATTCTATCTCTTCCAAAGTGTGTGTCCTTATCACTTTTCCTCTTTCACAACAGTGTGTGTCCTTATCACATTCTATCTCTTCCACAGTGTGTGTCCTTATCACATTGCCTCTTTCACAACAGTGTGTGTCCTTATCACATTTCCTCTCACAACAGTGTGTGTCCTTATCACATTTCCTCTCACAACAGTGTGTGTCCTTATCACATTTCCTCTTTCACAACAGTGTGTGTCCTTATCACATTTCCTCTCACAACAGGGTGTGTCCTTATCACATTTCCTCTTTCACAACAGTGTGTGTCCTTATCACATTTCCTCTCACAACAGTGTGTGTCCTTATCACATTGCCTCTCACAACAGTGTGTGTCCTTATCACATTTTATCTCTTCCAACAATAGTGTCACAACAGTGTGAGTCCTTATCACATTTTATCTCTCAACAGTGTGTGTCCTTATCACATTTCCTCTTTTACAACAGTGTGTGTCCTTATCACATTCTATCTCTTCCACAGTGTGTGTCCTTATCACATTGCCTCTTTCACAACAGTGTGTGTCCTTATCACATTTCCTCTCACAACAGTGTGTGTCCTTATCACATTTCCTCTCACAACAGTGTGTGTCCTTATCACATTTCCTCTCACAACAGTGTGTGTCCTTATCACATATCCTCTCTCACAACAGTGTGTGTCCTTATCACATTGCCTCTCTCACAACAGTGGGTGTCCTTATCACATTTTATCTCTTCCAACAATAGTGTCACAACAGTGTGTGTCCTTATCACATTTTTGCTCTCAACAGTGTGTGTCCTTATCACATTTTCTCTCTCACAACAGTGTGTGTCCTTATCACATTTTATCTCTTCCAACAATAAGTGTCACAACAGTGTGTGTCCTTATCACATTTTCTCTCTCAACAGTGTGTGTCCTTATCACATTTTCTCTCTAACAACAGTGTGTGTCCTTATCACATTTTATCTCTTCCAACAATAAGTGTCACAACAGTGTGTGTCCTTATCACATTTCCTCTCACAACAGTGTGTGTCCTTATCACATTTCCTCTCTCACAACAGTGTGTGTCCTTATCACATTTCCTCTCTCACAACAGTGTGTGTCCTTATCACATTTTTTCTCTCACAACAGTGTGTGTCCTTATCACATTTCCTCTCACAACAGTGTGTGTCCTTATCACATTTCCTCTCACAACAGTGTGTGTCCTTATCACATTTCCTCTTTCACAACAGTGTGTGTCCTTATCACATTTCCTCTCACAACAGTGTGTGTCCTTATCACATTGCCTCTCTCACAACAGTGTGTGTCCTAATCACATTCCATCTCTTCCACAGTGTGTGTCCTTATCAAATTTTCTCTCACAACAGTGTGTGTCCTTATTACATTTCCTCTCACAACAGTGTGTGTCCTTATCACATTTCCTCTTTCACAACAGTGTGTGTCCTTATCACATTTCCTCTCACAACAGTGTGTGTCCTTATCACATTGCCTCTCTCACAACAGTGTGTGTTCTTATCACATTCTATCTCTTCCACAGTGTGTGTATTCCTTATCAATGTGTTTATTCTGCAACATCTATTCAAGGGCATCTCCTGAATCAAGTATTTCAACTCCTGGTCACAACACATTACAAGACTATGACTGAGAATCGGTTTAAATATTAATATCTAACCTGTATTCTCATACAAGTTTCTCCAGTCTTGAAACAAAAAGTTGCCTACACAGCCATGTTGTTTCTGCTATGGACCAACATTCCATCATAGAAATCATCACCAGTCAGATTTCACGTTTAGTTCAGCTAATGTTCTTTTTCTCTTTTCTTTTAATATCATATGCCACATTCAGCAACTATCAAGGCTGCCTGTACATAACCAAGTCAGGCAAAACAAACCAGTGGTTGATATTATGAACAACATCCCATACCGTCATGCATGTAACCATCGGAACCAATTTAATCACCTCTTACAACAAGCAATAGCATTCTGGGGACCCATTCTAATGCGATCAACCAAGTCACCATGCCTGACCATCAATACCAATTTAGTTTGTGAGGAGCTATATGTTACCACTATTTGGACTAGTAAAAAACCCTGTCTCACCCTAGTAATAATAATGACTGCATGTACTATCTTACCTTGGTAATAATACTAACTGAGTGCAAGTACTATCTCACCCTAGTAAAAATACTCACTGATTGCAGGTACCATCTCATACTAGTAATGATACTAACTGAATGCAAGTACTATCTCACCCAAGTAATGATACTAACTGACTGCAAGTACTATTTCACCCTAGTAATAATACTCACTGATTGCATGTACTATCTCACCTTAGTAATAATACTGACTGATTGCATGTACTATCTCACCTTAGTAATAATACTAACTGATTGCATGTACTATCTCACCTTAGTAATAATAATGACTGCATGTACTATCTCACCCTAGTAACAATACTCACTGACTGCAAGTACTATCTCACCCTAGTAATAATAATGACTGCATGTACTATCTTACCTTGGTAATAATACTAACTGATTGCATGTACTATCTCACCTTAGTAATAATACTGACTGCAAGTACTATCTCACCCTAGTAACAATACTCACTGATTGCAGGTACTATATCACCCAAGTAATGATACTAACTGACTGCAAGTACTATCTCACCCAAGTAATGATACTAACTGACTGCAAGTACTATCTCACCCAAGTAATGATACTAACTGACTGCAAGTACTATCTCACCCTAGTAACAATACTGACTGCAAGTACTATCTCACCTTAGTAATAATACTGGCTGATTGCAAATACTATCTCACCCCAGTAATACTACTGACTGACTGCAAGTACTATCTCACCTTAGTAATAATACTGACTGCAAGTACTATCTCACCCTAGTAACAATACTGACTGTAAGTACTATCTCACCCTCATAATAATACTAACTGATTGCAAGTACAATCTCACCCTCATAATAATACTGATCGCAAGTACTATCTCACCCTAGTAATACTACTGATTGAAAGTACTATCTCACCCTCATAATAATACTGACTGTATGTACTATCTCACCTTAGTAATACTACTGATTGAAAGTACTATCTCACCCTCATAATAATACTGACTGTATGTACTATCTCACCCTAGTAATACTACTGATTGAAAGTACTATCTCACCCTCATAATAATACTGACTGTATGTACTATCTCACCCTAGTAATACTACTGATTGAAAGTACTATCTCACCCTCATAATAATACTGACTGTAAGTACTATCTCACCTTAGTAATACTACTGATTGAAAGTACTATCTCACCCTCATAATAATACTGACTGTATGTACTATCTCACCTTAGTAATAATACTCGCTAATTGTAGGTACCATCTCACCCCAGTAATACAACTGATTGAAAGTACTATCTCACCCTCATAATAATACTGACTGTATGTACTATCTCACCCTAGTAATACAACTGATTGAAAGTACTATCTCACCCTCATAATAATACTGACTGTATGTACTATCTCACCCTAGTAATACTACTGATTGAAAGTACTATCTCACCCTCATAATTATACTGATTGTATGTACTATCTCACCTTAGTACTAATACTCGCTAATTGCAAGTACTATCTCATACTAGTAATGATACTGATTAAAAGTACTATCTCACCCTCGTAATAATACTTACTGCAAGTACTATCAATATTCCAGCAACAATGAGTCAATGCTTACTTAGCATGATGCGTGATTCCTGAGTGCAGGAAAGATGGCAAAATCTTTGCTATGTATTTCTGACAAATTCAGTATTATTTCAGCCATATGTTGGTCAATATTCAGGACAGCATGAAATCCATCAGGGTATGATTCTACACCAATGCATCCATCTCAATGCCATAGTGACAAGGATGCAGCTTTGTTGATGGTTAACAAAACTAAATAGAAAAAAACATGGCAATTCTGTGTATTTCCATATATACTTACTATAAATGAGCAATATCGAAATGTATAAAGGAATTGAAAGAAGATATCTATATAAACATTCTAATACATCATGCATTCATAATCAAATGTATTTTTGACATATGCAATTTTAGTTACATGCCACCACATGAAGTTATATTCCATTTTCTCTTTCAAACTAACTCTAACATACTTAGAGGATAATGCAAAGTGTGAAATACTTCTAAGCTATTCCAATGCAGCATGCCTGTCCAAAATGCTAAAGATACAAATATCTTCATCAGAAGATGGAGTCCATACCATGACCTTTATCATGTCGTTGTAAGAACACATAACTTACTCACTCTTCATCCACAATGTAAATAATCATACGCCATTACTCTAAGTTTTATTTGATTGGCTCATGAAATGATTGAGTCCTTGTCAACATAAATATCATGTTAGTTAAGATAAAGTGAGACTAAGTTTATTATTAAACATTGTCAGTAATGGGTAAAATAAGTTGCTGAAATATTAAAAGAATTAAATCCAAACAAAACTCAAAAGTGTACTTAAACCTACACTGTTATACTTCAATACATGAGATTAGAAAGTATTAGGATACTAAATGTAGGACAAAGTAGGACCACTAGGACAAAATACTCCTGTGCTATAAAGTACCCACCGATTGTGGCTCATTCGACTGCATCCACAGCTGGTGATGGATTTGGTCAAACCGTTCCTGTTAACTTTATGGAATGTTGAAACATTGAGAGCATACAGACGAACAGTCTTGTCACATGCTTCGAAGTCTACGACATAGTCAACGTTTGGACGTTCCTGAGTTTCAGGCCGCACCATTAATCCAATGTAGAACTGGAGATCAGGATCGGCAATGTCCTTCATGTCTTCAAAGTCCCCACCTGCAAGGTGGAAGCCATATTGGGATGAGAATCATTGTGGACCTTCTATTGACTATGGCTTAAAAAAATAAAAGAATTGGTTTTCAGGCAAAGTTTTTTTGAAAATATATATGTGCTGGCGGGTGGAGTCTTTTTTTTTTAGGTTGTTCATACTAGTATGTAACCAAATTAACAGTTGTGTAAACAAATAAACAATGTGTACAATCAACCTGGGAAAGGCCTCCCTAAATAAATGTATTCCTTGATGAGTAAAATACTTGAATAGTGGACTAGGAATATTAAAGGATTTTATTTGTTTTTGCTTTCAAAATGGAAATAAAAACGAAACGTGTAACGAACTATATAATGATGAGGCTGTGAACCAAGACCATTATTTTTTTTAGACCTATATACATGAGATGGCGTTGTGAATTGTAGAAATGTCACATTCAAGATTACAAGCATTTATATAGTGTTCATGTGTGTGTGGCTGCTTGTACTAGTCAGCACTATAATGCAGATTTTATAGTGCTAGCTCACTGAGATACCATGACGCAGTTTAACATGAATACCCCACTCAGACACAGTATACTGACTCAAGGGCGACCAGTCCTTGTTTTAGCCTCTTAATGCAGGGCAGGGTAACAACAAGTACCATATTTTCAACATCTTTTGGTATCATCTTTTGGATCGAACCCACGCCCTTCCTCTCTCCAGGCAGATACACTGTCTGCTAGGACATGGAGGTGGTCATACACACTGAGAAAACTGGACCATCACTACTGGCAAATACAGGAGAGTGAGTTTGGTTAAACGCTGTTTTGAACAGTATTTTAGTTATACCACGTTGCATCAGCTCAATATTGGAAGAAAGCCAAAAGTGATAAAGATCCAAGACAATTACTATCTCGGTGAAACCCATGAGCACGGCCATAGTGCTGACAAACCTAAAATCTGGTATACAATCATACCATCAGAGGTTCCTGGCAAGTCAAAGGGACATAACTCTGCACAGGGAAGAGAGGCTTCTAAGACAACCTGGCCACTCACAATGAGCTTCGTTATGACCTAATTTACAAATTTAACTGCCATATTTCTTATAACAATGGGGGACATGGGTGGCCCAGTCATCTAAGGTGCTGCGATTCACTGTGCAGAGTTGTGTCCCTTGGGCATGCCAGAAACCTATGACTGTGGGTTCGAATCCCAGTTCGACCGATTATGTTTCTAGGTTTGTCAGCACCATACCCGTGCTCATGGGTTTCACTGAAGTGGTAAACGTGCGAGACCTACATCACTTCGGGATTTCCTCCCACATTGAGCTGACACACCGTGATATAACTGGAATACTGTTAAAAACGGCGTAAAGCCCAACTCACACACTCACTCACACTTATAACAATCCATTGTACAAAGTTTTCACATTTGTCACAAAGATAAACCACAGACAACACAGGGTCATATAAAGTAATATATACTACTTATATAGGTTAAGGATCACTTGATTCTTTCATGTAACTATCGTGTCTAGACTGAAATAAATTGTAAGATTAGGAGGATGTGAATGTGCAACCTTGCCGTTTTATACAAAAAGAATACTGTTGACATAGCCTCACATATTTTAGAAGATCCATCTCACTTTTAAAATGTTGTTATTCTGTTAACAATCTGGATGGAGATATCTATTTCCAAAAGTTAAATCTAAACGATCCAGGACCTCTTTTATTCAAGATTAGCATTCACTTTTAAACAAATGTTAACTCTTAGTGTTTTAACCTAATATCTGCAGCACTTGATTTGTTTCATGTTCCCTGTTACGTCCATGCCTTAAATGTGTACTTGTATTTGTTTAATCTCCTCGATGTATTATGTCTTGTGTAACAATTGTGACACTCTGATGTAAAAACAATTCCCCTACAGGCAATAAAGCATATCTTATTTAATGTTTGTTATTCTGTCATGCCATATGACTATAGTATGCTCAAATATATTTCATAAATTATTTTAAAATATAACTTTGTATAAATAACTATATTGTAAATATATTAATTGGTCTCGTCGCTATATGGCTGAAATAATGCTGATGCGACATTAAATTTTAACTAACTCACTCACTCACTCATGCCATGACAGATTGAATATAACGATATGAAAGAATCTGGGGATCCTTAACTTTTTTGAGTAGTATAGTTGTGAATGACCTATCATGCAGTATTGGTAGCAATGGAAATTCTGCAGATTATACTCTGAAAATGATAAAAAGACATCCCACATACCTCTGACGTAATTAACACTATTCAACAGACTATAAAAACTCCACTCGGACAAAAATCTGAAACAAAAAGAGATATATAAGTGGTAAAGGAGGTTGTGCTGTAGATGACAAATCCTTTCAAGCAATACTTAGGCATTTAACATGAGCTGACTTTGTCCAGGCTGTGTAAAGGTGGGGTGAAATGGGGTTTTACCTTGCTTCCAAGATGCACTTCTAGAGCGATGTGCATGCACGTATGTGTGAGTGGCTGCTTGTACTAGTCCGGACTGATGCCGATTTGTAGTGCCAGCACACTGAGATACCATGCCACAGTTTAACATGAATACCCCACTCAGACACAGTATACTGACTCCAAGCCGACAGGGTAACAACCTGTTGACAGGGTAACAACAAGTACCCTCTTTAACGTCATTTGGTAGAACGCGGCCTGGGGATCAAACCCCAGACCTTCCGCTCTCTGGGCGGACGCTTTACCACTAAGTAACAGAGGCGGTTCCTGCGTAAAGGCCTTTCAAGTAATATGTACAGCAATATCAAATTTGATTTATGAAATGTGGCATTTTTACAGTTTTTAATAAGTTCATGAAGTATAACAACCTTTCAAACAATATTGCAATAAGATATTTCGTTTGTTGTTTAACACTGCATTTGGCAATAAAACAGCTCTGTGGCAGTGGCCTGTAAATAATTGAGTCAGGACAAACCAGTGATTGATATTATGAGCAACAATCTACACTGCCTGAGTGCACTGACTAAATAACAACCAGGTGACCAAGCCAGACCCACCCATCTACCAAGGTGCCTTGTATACTGAACAAAAGAAGTTAGGGATCATGAATATTTTGGGGGATATTTTTATGAAGTGTGCTCAGTCTTCACTATAAAAAATATCCCCCAAAATATTCATAATCCCTAACTTTTTTAGCTCAGTACACAACAAGCATAAGTTGCAAGGTAAGCTTCAACATGGAATCCCCACAGTGATATGGCAAAGAGATCATTGGTCAAGACTTTATGATGACCACACAGTGTTAAGGCCTAAGTACAAACTGGACATTAACCAATGATTAAGTATATTTGTTTGTTTATTTGTTGTTTAACGCCGCACTCAGCAATATTACAGCTATATGATGGCGGTCTGTAAATAATCGAGTCTGGAACAGACAATCCAGTGATTGACATCATGAGCATCGATCCACACATTTGGGATACGAGGCATGCATCAACCAAGTCAGCAAGCCTGACCACTCGATCTTGTTAGTCGCCTCCTACGACAAGCATAATCACCTTTTACGGCAAGCATGGGTTGCTGAAAACCTATTCTACCCCGGATCTTCACGGGTCTATGCTAGTATAAGCTTATATATGAGTAGTGGTACAAAATGTATGACGGATATTGGTGGTTTCAGGGACTGATGTACACCTGCTCTGAGGCCCAAACCTGGACCAAGTCTGCAACAAATGTTACTAAAAATACCCCAATTGGAATCTGAGTATAACATGGCTGGATGTAACGAACTACAAGGGACAGGAGAAATCAGTTTGTTATATACGTTGTTCGTTATATGTTTTCGCTCGAAATGTCCACCATCTTAGCTAAAACAAAACACAAGACACAAACACGTTTATACACGCGTCCTTCTGCATCTACCAGGATTCAATTAAAAAGTACCCAATGATACAACTTCAAAACATTTTTCAAAAATGTTTACTGCAATACTCGTAAGAAATTGTATTGAAATTATTACTTTATCATAATAATATGTTCCAATATCATGTTATTCTAGTTATAGCTTTCACTATATATATTTAAAATTATAAAAACCATAAGCATAGCACTGTGGTAAAAAGGTGATTGCTATTGCAGGATTACGTATGGAACAATGTAATTGATGAGTTGACTTAGCAATGTTTGTTTTAAAGACAAGATTAGTCCAATTACATGGACAGGTAAGATTAACATAATGCAAGTTTAACAAGGATGAATCGTCACCAGTGATTGTGTTGATTCGCTGCTGATTGCGTACACCCAATTGTCAGTGACACTTGACACTTGATTTCTCAGTTCGCTATACACGTCACTAATGAGTGGTATTTGGGCTTGTTGGTGATCAGATATCAGTTCGCTTTATACATTAGTTCACTGTAGAGAGTTTGTTATATACGTAAATGTTATATGATAATATATATAGGAGATAAATCGGGGATTTTTTAACAGCCCGTTGTATCCTTTTTTTCGCTCTATCCATGTTCGTTATATGCATGTTCGTTATATATGTGTTCGTTATGTCCGTGTTTGTTATATCCGTGTTTGTTATATCCATGTTCGTTATATCCGTGTTCTACTGTAATAATTCCTAATTTGCAATTCATGTTCTTATAGTCATAACTAATACCAAGGCTTTTTTAGGTGACTTGTATTTCACTGATAGCAGGGCCATCTAAGAGGGAGAGACTTTTATATAACTGCATTGAATGCAATATACAAATATAATCTTAAAATACCTCTGAAGGTAAGAAAAATCAAACTTCTGAAAATCCCAGTTTTGAGAAACATAGCCATTTTTTCCAAATTTACCCATTTTAGTTCAGAATCCTACATTTATTCTTGGGGTAAGTCTAGTAGTGAGGTATGTGCTTGTGCAAAGGACCAGGTTTGACATCACAAATGAAAAGTCTGACCCTTTTGGTAAAGTGGCGCCTTTATTAGTTCAGACTAATTATATTCTTTGTTTTGCAGACTCACCAGTCTATTTTTAGACATTTAAACAAGAAAGAATTTCCTCAACAGGAAATAACTGCATCAGTAACTTGTATGTCAGAGGTTATCACTAAACTGCCATTTTAACTGTTCTCTCTAGCAAATATTTGCAGTACCCAAAAACTAAACACTAAAGAGGGGCCTGTCTATATTACACATACTTACATAACACTTTCCGCAATAGTCCACATTAACCAACTAAATATTTTTGACAGTGGCTGAAAAATAAAAAAAATATTCAATACACAGTTTAGAGGTAACAGACAATGGACACATGAACCAAAGGATTATGAGCATACTTATAAAAAACATATTTCCAATCATTTCATTTCAAATATAATCTTAAAGTAGGAAGCCCAGTTATCGTAATTCGCCGTGCAGAGTTGCATCCCTTGGGCACACCAGAGAACTATGACTGTGGGTTCGAATCCCGGTTCGCCCCAATTATTATACCAGGTCTGTCAGCATCATAACCGTGCTTGTGGGTTTCACCAAGGTGATAAACGACTGAGACCTGTCTCAATGGCCAATGTCACCTGGCCACTCACAATGAGCTTTGTTATAACCTAATTTACAAATTTAACTGCCATATTTCTTATAACAATGGGGGGCACGGGTGGCCCAGCCGTCTAAGGTGCCGCGATGCACTGTGCAGAGTTGTGTCCCTTGGTCACGCCAGAAACCTATTATTGTGGGTTCAAATCCTGGTTCGACCGATTAGTTTCTAGGTTTGTCAGCACCATCCTGTGCTCATGGGTTTCACTGAAGTGGTAAACGTCTGAGACCTACATCACTTCGGGCTTTCCTCACACATTAAGCTGAGACGCCAAGATATAACTGTAATACTGTTCAAAACAGTGTTAAATCCAACTCACTCACTCACTCAGTTGTCAAATTGCTTGCTTCTGACAAACGATGTCACTCATATACATAAACTGACTTACATTTGTTAGCAATGGTGCAGCGCTCTCTTGGTCACTCGCATATATTTTACACATCCCTTGATAGTCAGTGATGTTGGCTCTGAAGAAAAACAAGTCAATAAAGAATGTATAACCGATATGTTCATGCAATACAACCTTATACAATCAATGTACAAACATCATAGAGATATGTTGTGCAGATGAAGTTCCTCTTACCACAATCACTAAAATATTCAAAGTTTCCATAAATAAAAGAACGGAACAACTTACGTGTTATAAATATTTTCTCGAATTAATTCTTCTAATAAAGAGTTGTCCACCATCCCGAAAAATTTCCCTGTCTGTAAAATAAAGACACATTCAACATCAATGGCACCAATCCATTCAAAAGTGATGTGATTTCCTTTTCACAGCTGTTTGTTTATGAACATATAATACTACAGAAATTACACATAAATTCAGTGATTTCATTGTCTATACATTGTTGCATTTTTAAACTTCTAGCTAATACTGCTGGCTTCAACTGAAATTCTTTGACATCACATGTTCATTAACACCCGTATATCTGAAAATGTTTATTTCTGAATTTAATATAATTAAATTCAATATTGATCAGGTTTTATCAATGGCCATACTAATCTTTCCATCTAAAAGTCCCAAAGTTTTAGAAAACAATATTAACTCCTACTCTTTTATCACTACGGATATTTCCCCATGAAGATCCGAGTTAGAATTCGTCTTCAGCAAGCCATGCTTGTCGTAAGAGGTGACTAATGGGATGGGTGGTCACCTCACTCACTTAGTTGATGCATATCATCGTCACTCTATTGTTTAGATCGATGCTTTTTTTTTTACGTCAATCACTAAACTGTCTGGACCAGACTTGATCATTTACCGAACGTCATCATTTAGCTGGAATATTGCTGAGTGTAGCGTTCAACAACAAACAAACAATGACTATTTAACTTATTATACTTACATCATTTCCATCCTTGTTATTGGATGCCATTACAAAGCCACTGTGGTCTAGGAGGTAGCAGTTCAAATACTGGCAACAAAACATTATGACATGTAATACAGAACAAATTCAATTGTATGAAGGTTGCAGATGGCAGATGGGATCTGTATCCTCGAAAAATCATTTTTTGTATGCCAAACCTCAAACAATGATTCATATTGAATCTTCACGTTAAACCACTGACTACTACTTACTCTATACTTTTATCATTTCAAACAGAAAAAGAACAATCAAACCAGAGAGATGGCTACCAGGGCAACTGACTCCTGGTCTAGAAGGATCAAAGCCAGAGCAAAACAATATGACAAGAATCTGCCCTGCTACCACTGAAGTAGAGAGATATGATGTCTACCAGCGCAATCGACACCCCCAAAATGTGTTTCATACTTTATTGCCCTTATTTCTATTATCCAAATCAAAGGATCAAAGCCTTGGAGAAACAATATGACAAGAATCTGCCTAGCCACCATTGAACCAGAGAGATGACCTCCAAGGCAAAGGGCTCTTGGTGTAACGGATCAAAGCCTTGGAGAAACAATATGACAAGAATCTGCCTAGCCACCATTGAACCAGAGAGATGACCTCCAAGGCAAAGGACTCTTGGTGTAACGGATCAAAGCCTTGGAGAAACAATATGACAAGAATCTGCCTAACCACCATTGAACCAGAGAGATGACCTCCAAGGCAAAGGGCTCTTGGTGTAACGGATCAAAGCCTTGGAGAAACAATATGACAAGAATCTGCCTAGCCACCATTGAACCAGAGAGATGACCTCCAAGGCAAAGGGCTCTTGGTGTAACGGATCAAAGCCTTGGAGAAACAATATGACAAGAATCTGCCTAGCCACCATTGAACCAGAGAGATGACCTCCAAGGCAAAGGGCTCTTGGTGTAACGGATCAAAGCCTTGGAGAAACAATATGACAAGAATCTGCCTAGCCACCATTGAACCAGAGAGATGACCTCCAAGGCAAAGGGCTCTTGGTGTAACGGATCAAAGCCTTGGAGAAACAATATGACAAGAATCTGCCTAACCACCATTGAACCAGAGAGATGACCTCCAAGGCAAAGGGCTCTTGGTGTAACGGATCAAAGCCTTGGAGAAACAATATGACAAGAATCTGCCTAACCACCATTGAACCAGAGAGATGACCTCCAAGGCAAAGGACTCTTGGTGTAACGGATCAAAGCCTTGGAGAAACAATATGACAAGAATCTGCCTAGCCACCATTGAACCAAAGAGATGACCTAAAAGTCAATACTCCATGTGTTTCAGGATCAAAACCTTGGAGGTGAGGTGAGGTGAGGTGAAATTGGGTTTAACGTCGCGTCCAAGATTATTGCACTTATATAGCGACGTGTATGCACGTGTATGTGTGTGTGTGGCTGCTTGTACTAGTCCGGACTGATGCCGATTTATAGTGCTAGCTCACTGAGATACCATGCTGCAGTTTTAACATGAATACCCCACTCAGACACAGTATACTGACTCCGAGCCGACCAGTCCTTGTTTTAGCCCCTTAATGCCGAGCGCCAGACAGGGTAACAACAAGTACAATCTTTTAACGTCTTTTTGTATGACGCGGCTCTACCACAAGACCACGGAGGCGGTCTCAAAACCTTGGAGAAACAATATGGCAAGAATCTGCTGCTTCAGCCAAAGTAACTTTGTGTCTTCTTTTTTAGACAACTTCTTCTTCTTGCAAAGAAAGAGCCTTTATTGAATAGTGCCATAACAGATGGTGAGGAGTCAAGGTTGTTTACATTTAGCCAGGATTTTGGCAGACTGCTCAAATTGCAGATGATAAAAAGCCAAACATTTTCCCTTGTATGGAAAGAATCTTGATTTAAAAAAATGACATGTCCAGGAGATGATCTGTTTCAGTCAAAATTTAGTTTTGCAATCACATTTGTAATCAGCTACTGACAATGAAATCAGATGTAATCAGCTACCTACCTCTGTGTCGTTACATGTGAAGTCACAGCTGCCAGATGGACACTCGGTTGTTATGTTGTGAAACATCTCTGAGAACTTATAGTGCTTCATCTGGAATCCCACAACGGCAGCAACAGCTTCCTTTCCACCACGCTTCAACACCTCTGGTGACGACATGATCACAGTGGTGGACTGCATTGGGAACATCCCTAAAGAACAAACAAAAATATTTTAAAAGGTTTTTGTGACAAGTGTGTCACTTGGTAAATCTGACTTACTTAGAGCCTAAACTAGTATTTGACAGTTACGCTTTGTCATCTTGTTGATCATTGCATTGTACTTCAGCTGATCTGACACAACTAAACTAGTATTTGACAGTTACGCTTTGTCATCTTGTTGATCATTGCATTGTACTTCAGCTGATCTGACACAACTAAACTAGTATTTGACAGTTACGCTTTGTCATCTTGTTGATCATTGCATTGTACTTCAGCTGATCTGACACAACTAAACAAGGATTGGACGGTTACAATGTTTCATCTTGATTATGTCAGGCGGTCGGGTAGCCAAGTGGTTAAAGCATTCGCTTGTCATGTCGAAGACCCGTGTTCGATTCCCCAAATTTGTACAATGTGTCCATTTCTGGTGTCCCCTGGCGTGATATTGTTGGAATATTGCTAAAAGCAACATTAAACCATACTCACTCACTCACTTGATAATGTCACCTCATATGCTTGATTTGTTACTCATGCTATCAGCCACTTGTTTGTCTGTCCCAGTCAGTCCTTTACAGGCTTCTGTCGGCAGTGAACTATATTCACTCACTAAAGTATGGGAGGGCGCCTCTGATTACCTGATTTCCTGAGAGCAAAGGTATAGTTGTAGCCATCTTGCCAGCCACTGACAGCTCGCTTGTAGTAGGGTTCCCCTATAGTCTTGGTGCTTGATGAAGCAAAATCACTGGAAATATACACAACATATATCTCAGCATTGTTCTACTTAATGAAATCTCAGCATTGTTCTACTAAATGAAATCTCAGCATTGTTCTACTAAATGAAATCTCAGCATTGTTCTGCTTAATGACATCTCAGCATTGTTCTACTAAATGAAATCTCAGCATTGTTCTGCTTAATGACATCTCAGCATTGTTCTACTTAATGACATCTCAGCATTGTTCTACTTAAGGACATTCCTGATAGTTCTACTTAATGTCATCTCAGCATTGTTCTACTTAAGGACATTCCTGATAGTTCTACTTAATGACATCTCAGCATTGTTCTACTTAAGGACATTCCTGATAGTTCTACTTAATGACATCTCAGCATTGTTCTACTTAAGGACATTCCTGATAGTTCTACTTAATGTCATCTCAGCATTGTTCTACTTAAGGACATTCCTGATAGTTCTACTTAATGTCATCTCAGCATTGTTCAACTTACAATTCTGTTAAGTTTTCTGCTTCTTCCACCTGCAAGAAGCGAGTCAACCCGACACTAGTACCAATGAAGATAAAGTCAATTCCATATCTGAAAAAGAAAACAGTTGAAATATAACAGATATCAAGGTCATGGTGACTTAACAATCAGGGGCAGGTTACTCTATTCAGCTGTATAAGTACCCTCACCAGCCAGTTACTAATGTCAAAGCCATGAGGACATTTTGAATTTATGCATACATGTTTTTACATTGGCAGAAATTGTATCTGCTTTCCATATAAGAATCATCCGAATCCTTTCCTTTGATTAAACACCTTGAAACACATGTGATTCATGTTTTAAGGTATTCACTTGCCATCTCTATAGCAGTAATGAACACTGTGTACGAGAGTTATCTCCTCTTGGCAGCTGGCTGTTCAAATTCAGATTCTATTTTGGCATTTCCCTGCGTCTAGTCACTATCTGCTCATGTAGACTGTGTCTGTGTCATGATATTTAATGACATTCTATGTAGGATTCACATACTTACTTTGCATGCACTTTTGTGTAGCATTTTTTCATATCTTTCTGGTCTGCTATACCATAGCATGAGCGGTAATCTTTTCTGGAAAAGCGAATTGAAATCATGAGTTAAAATGTTTTTTCAAAGTTTTCATAGTCTTTGAAAGGCATTTAGAAGTGATACACATAAGAAAGAGAATCTATGGGCATCAAGATCTTTATTATGACGAACACAACGTTTCGGAGTATATGCTTACTCCTTCATCAGGTGAACGAATGCCATGAGGCAGAGAGCATGTTATATGTACATGTTAGAACAACAAAAGTAATAAGATAACAAAAGGTGGAAACTAACAAGGGGAGCGAACAGATAATTGGTGCTGATGGGTGATTAGCAATAGGCAATGGAAGCCAACACTTTACAGTAATTAGCGCTGATAGTTATGGACAACCAGATCCAGGTCTGTTCTACTTACTTGACATAAGATCCAGATCTGTTCTACTCACATGACATAAGATCCAGACCTGTTCTACTCACTTGACATAAGATCCAGATCTGTTCTACTCACTTGACATAAGATCCAGATCTGTTCTACTCACTTGACATAAGATCTAGATCTGTTCTACTCACTTGACATAAGATCCAGATCTGATCTAATTACTTGACATTAGATCCATATCTGTTCTACTTATTTGACATAAGATCCAGATCTGTTCTACTTACTTGACATAAGATTCAGTTTTTTCTATTTACTTGACATAAGATCCAGATCTATTCTACTCACTTGACATAAGATCCATTTCTGTTCTACTTACTTGACATAAGATCCAGATCTGATCTAATTACTTGACATAAGATCCATTTCTGTTCTACTCACTTGACATAAGTTCCAGATCTGTTCTACTCACTTGACATAAGATCCAGATCTGTTCTACTTACTTGATGTTAGATCCAGGTCTGAGTCTGCCCCGCCCGAGGTAGTCCTTCTGCCCCTCCCAGATCTTTGTATAGTTGTAAGTCTGGATTGCGTCATACACCAACAGTCTCACGAGATCAGGGTCACCTGCAGACAAGTGGGAGTCAGTGAGTCAGGTAAGCAAACAGTGAGTGAGTGAGTGAGTGAGTTGGCTTTGAACAGTATTTCAGTCATGTCTCAGCATGTCAGCTTAATGTAGGAGGAAAGCCAAAATGATGCTGGCTGCTTGGCTGAACCTAGGTTTGGTGCTGACACAATTGATCATGATCAGGGTCAATCTGGGATTCAAACCCAGGACCATAGGATAATGGCATGCCTTAGGGGGCCAACTCTGCACAGCAACTTGCAGCACTTGGACAACTGTTATTCTGTTATCCTGAAGAGGGTTTTAGTAAGCAGCAATGTTACACTTATTGCATCCGATACATATTATACCTTTACTTTACAGATCTTGGCCAGTGGCGGTGCATGAAATGTTTACAATCTTGACACAAACATGTGGCAGTACCCAGGGGGATTCTGGGCAGAATGAATCCTCAGCACCCTAAGCCTGTCATATGAGCCAGATAGCGGGGATCTGGTTACACTGTGTGGCCTAGTCACGATATGGCTGAAATATTGCTGATGTGACTTAAAATTTTAACTCACTCACTCACTGTGTGGCCTGACAAATGGCTAGTTCCTGTGTGGCTTGTGCACTTTTAATACATTTTAGTTGTTACGTTCCTTTGTGGTTGTGCACCTATAGTGAAGATGATGCATTCTTGTGTGGTTGTGCACTTACATTTTAGTTGATGCGTTGCTGTTCCATTGACAATATCTTGGAGCTGGTACTTCCTCAACGTCTGCATCTGACCCGAGGTTGCATTCTTGCAGAAAATCCTGGACACAATATTTCAATATTTTCAACATTAATTCCATGAGCAGCACAAGCATATACAGGATTGTCATTCTTCTCAAACCTCTTGGTAAATCTTTCATCTACTAATTTATGAAACATCACTAAATGGCCAAATCATTGTTCTAAAGCAAATTATTTTACATCCAAACATCATGGCTGTGACATATTCGAACAATCCCTCCCACCCACCACCCAGTGGTTTGATGTCTTTGTCATCCAATCACAAGTGATGTTATGAACAGTCTCCATAGACATGAAAGTGGGATACATTGTGAGTGGTTTGAGCTCCATGACTCTTTAAAAGACTAATGTTGCTCCTGTTCCCTCAAAACATGGCAGACGTCCCCAAACCTCCGCAGCAGCAGCAGCAGGAGGAGGAGGAGGAGGAGGGAGGGGTGGAGGAAGGGATAGGGGTATACCCTCTCCTGTTCCTCATCCCCCATCCTCCAAATGTTACTTTCCCTTTCAATGACTGTAGATTCTGAACTTTAAAAAAGACTAATCAGCTCCTAGTATATGTTTATAACTGGTCCACACAAAAAATACAAATGACTCACCAGGGGGCTAGCAGAAGAGTCTCGTTATTCAGGTACTCAGCTTCAGCCTCTGAAAGTACAAACTTCATCATCAGTCACTTTAACATCCTAATAATATATTTATTTGTTTTGCTGCATTTAACAGCATTATACAGACAATAATAATGGCAACTTAGGGTTTAGCTCACAAAAATTACTGTTTGTTATCAGAATGCATCCAAAATAGATCATAAAAGGATCCAAAATGTTGGAAGACCTTTTCAGGAAAGGCCTTCAAGATGAAAAGTTCATTGCAGAGCATGAAAACAGTGAAAAGACATTGATCAGTTATGAAGCTGAAGAAACTTATATGTTCAGACCATAAATCACTCACGAGTATGGAGAAGATTGTACTGGGGCCGAAGTCTTATTTCTCCATATCCTTTGGGTATTACTAAAGCAAGGCTGCAACAGCAAAAAGTCACACATTGTACTTATGCATTAAACAGCAAAGGAGTATCATGTCTTGACACTATGAACTGACAGCCTTGGACAACATATTAATTATTAAACAACTGTCCGTAACACTCTCATATCAGCACACATCATACAAGAAGCACCATAGGGCCACTACATATTAAGCAGGCTAATACTTGATTTGAGCAGGCCAATACAGGATTTAAGCAGGCCAATACTTGATTTGAGCAGGACAATAAGGCTTTGAGCAGGCCAATACGGCTTTGCTGGGCAAAACAGGATTTGAGAGGGCCAATACTGGATCTGAGAGTGCCAAAGAGGATTTGAGAGGGCCACTACAGGATTTGAACTGGCCAATACAGGATCTGAGACGGCAAATACAGGATCTGAGAGGGCCAATACAGGATCTGAGAGGGCAAATACAGGATTTGAGAGGGCCAATACAGGATTTGAGGGGGCCAATACAGGATTTGAGAGCGCCAATACAGGATTTGAGAGGGCCAATACAGGATCTGAGAGGGCCAATACAGGATTTGAGCAGGCCAATACAGCATTTGAGAGGGCCAATACAGGATCTGAGAGGGCCAATACAGGATCTAAGAGGGCCAATACAGGATTTGAACAGGCCAATACAGGATTTGAGAGCACCAATACAGGATTTGAGCAGGCCAATACAGGATTTGAGGGGGCCAATACAGGATTTGAGCAGGCCAATACAGGATTTGAGCAGGCCAATACAGGATTTGAGCAGGCCAATACAGGATTTGAGGGGGCCAATACAGGATTTGAGCAGGCCAATACAGGATTTGAGCAGGCCAATACAGGATTTGAGGGGGCCAATACAGGATTTGAGCAGACCAATACAGCTTTTGTGTGTGATCGCATTCCTTACATTGCAATCAGAACAAGGCGATAGGATGCAGTCATCACACATCCTTATAGCGTGGATCTTGTTTTCCTATATCTGTAACAGTGACTATGCTTGTCGTAAGAGGCGACTAACGGGATCGGGTGGTCAGGCTCGCTGACTTGGTTGATGCATCGTATCACAATTGTGTGGATTGATGCTCATGATGTCTATCACTGGACTGTCTGTTCAAGACTCGTTTATTTACAGATCGTCGTCATATAGCTGGAATATTGCAGAGCTCAGCATTAAACACCAAACAAACAACAACAACTGTAACATTTTTAGTTTTTTCCTGATCTCCTTAACTGGTACTACTTTATTATACAAATATATATAAGCAATATATAAGCAATATATTTTCATCCCTTACCTGAAAATATTTGACACTTTGTCAAAGTAATATAGATTTGTCCTCTTTCTGTAACGTTTCTGAAATAGAAAAAAGAAAATCCTTCTACAGTGGTAACAAATTTAGTTTGTGCTTTTTCAATATATGGTATAGAAATGATTTAAAGGGCCCAGCTTATTCCAGCATAACAGTTAAAAAGGGTTTTCTGGACCCATGGTCTATGGCCAGAAAGGACACAGTTGTTGAAGGCGTTGTACAGAGTTGTGTCCCTTGATTGTGGGTTCGAATCCCGGGTAGGCCCGATTATGTTTCTAGGTTTGTCAGCCCCATACATGTGAGCTCATGGGTTTCACCAAATTGCTAAACGTCTGAGACTTACACCACTTCGGACTTTCCTCCCGCATTAAGCTGACACGCCTTGATGTAATGTAAAACCGGTAAAAGTGGTGTTAACCCCAACTCACTCATTCCATGGCCAGCAACAAAAGTAAGGGAGAGAGGCTATTTGATGTCTATGGGTCATAATAGCTAAAATGGATAGAATTATCATTAAACCGCCCACATGTTATCAAAAATGAGCAGGCCACTGTAACTTGATAATGCCCTCATATTTCTTGACGACGGGCCATTATCACGCCCATTGTTAGGTGACATCATAGGATAGGGATAGGTGACGTCATGTTCAAAAGTGACATTATCTGGTTTGTCCTATGACTTTTCCATATTTGTAAAAGTGGGTCAGTGACATTCGTGTTGATAGCAGTAAATGTCTGAAAACCGACATTGTTGTTTCTTTTTATTTGATAACAAATTCCATCCATTTTAGCTATAATAACGGTAACGTTATTTTTCAGGGCATTATCATTTGCAGAAACCCTCGGTCTTTTCAACTGCCCTCCTTCGTCGGGCAGTTAATGGAAGTCCTCAGGCTTCTGCAAATGATAATGCCCTGAAAAATAGCATTACCCTTATATTATTGACAGGGCTGGATCCATGATTTTGAAAAAGGCAGGATGTACCCTCCCCAAGACATAAGGTGCCCCCTCATCTTCATCTGCATCCCAATGTCATATGTAGATATTCATGGCATACCGAGATCCGTGTTAAATAGAGACAGGTGAAACACAACATGTTCCCAGGTGTACAATGTATATACGATACTGCACACACTTTGTACACATCATCTTACCATGTCATCGTGCTCTGTCACCAGTATCTCCATACTGGCATAGGTGTGATCCAACATTCCCTGGCGGAGCTGAAATGATATCAAATAAACATCAAAAGATACCACATAAACGTCACATATCACATAAACTTCAAATGATTTCACATAAATGTCAACTGATATTACATCAACTTCAAATGATATCACATAAATATCAAATGATATCACATAAACTTCAAATGACATCACATATACTTCAAATGATATCACATAAATATCAAATGATATCACATAAGCATCAAATGATATCACATATACTTCAAATGATAACACATATTCTGTAAATGATATCACATAAACTTCAAATCATATCATATTAACATCAAATCATATCATATTAACATCAAATGATGTCACATAAACTTCAAATCATATCATATTAACATCAAATGATATCACATAAACATTAAACTCTTGAAAAAAAAGGAGGTGTGCATTTGTAATCATCAACATATAAGCTAGATGAATGCAAATACTCCATGATGGTTAGTATACCCAATTACTTGTGACATTGACTGATATTGTACACTGGAGGCATTGTCTGCCAGTTCCACCTCAGTCAAGTCATCTCACCTCTTGAATACTGAGAGGCATTGTCTGCCAGTTCCACCTCAGTCAAGTCATCTCACCTCTTGAATACTGGAGGCATTGTCTGCCAGTTCCACCTCAGTCAAGTCATCTCACCTCTTGAATACTGAGAGGCATTGTCTGCCAGTTCCACCTCAGTCAAGTCAACTCACCTCTTGAATACTGGAGGCATTGTCTGCCAGTTCCACCTCAGTCAAGTCAACTCACCTCTTGAATACTGGAGGCATTGTCTGCCAGTTCCACCTCAGTCAAGTCGACTCACCTCTTGAATACTGGAGGCATTGTCTGCCAGTTCCGCCTCAGTCACGTCAACTCACCTCTTGAATACTGGAGGCATTGTCTGCCAGTTCCACCTCAGTCAAGTCGACTCACCTCATGAATACTGGAGGCATTGTCTGCCAGTTCCACTTCAGTCAAGTCAACTCACCTCTTGAATACTGGAGGCATTGTCTGCCAGTTCCACCTCAGTCAAGTCGACTCACCTCTTGAATACTGGAGGCATTGTCTGCCAGTTCCACCTCAGTCAAGTCAACTCACCTCTTGAATACTGGAGGCATTGTCTGCCAGTTCCACCTCAGTCAAGTCAACTCACCTCTTGAACACTGGAGGCATTGTCTGCCAGTTCCACCTCAGTCAAGTCATCTCACCTCTTGAATACTGGAGGCATTGTCTGCCAGTTCCACCTCAGTCACGTCAACTCACCTCTTGAACACTGGAGGCATTGTCTGCCAGTTCCACCTCAGTCACGTCAACTCACCTCTTGAATACTGGAGGCATTGTCTGCCAGTTCCACCTCAGTCAAGCCATCTCACCTCTTGAATACTGGAGGCATTGTCTGCCAGTTCCACCTCAGTCACGTCAACTCACCTCTTGAAGTCTGGAGGCATTCTCTGCCAGTTCCACCTCAGTCAAGTCGACTCACCTCTTGAATACTGGAGGCATTGTCTGCCAGTTCCACCTCAGTCATGTCTACACTGTTGTAATCGGGTTTGAGGAACATCTCACTGGAACCAATCTCCCTCCGATACTGCAACAGACAAACAATGACAACAGGCTGGAACATCATGGCTCAGTGTACATAGCGACACCTTGTAGTTAGTTAGATGTGAGTAGGGTTTATCACCCTTTTTGAAAAACATGCCAGTATATTTCTGACCTTGCAGTCATCAATTTTGTTTGTTTGTTTGTTTGTTGTTTAACGCCACACTCAGCAATATTCCAGCTATATGACGGAGGTCTGTAAAAAATCGTGTCTGGATCCAGTGATTGACTTTATGAGCATCAATCCATGCAATTGGGATACGATGACATGCATCAACCATGTCAGCGAGCCTGATCCCCCAATCCCATTAAACGCCTCTCAATACAACCATAATCGCCTTTTACGACAAGCATGGGTTCCTGAAGACCTGTTCTAACCCGGAGCTTCATGGGTCAGCCTGTCCACTAGACCATGGTGGTGGTCATATACACTGAGAAAACTTGACCATCACTACTGGCAAATACAGGAGAGTGAGTTTGGTTTAACACTGCTTTGAACAGCATTTCAGTTATATCACATCACGTCAGCTCAATATTGAAAGAGGGCCCAAATTGATGAAGATCCAAGACAATTATCATCTTGGTGAAACCCATGAGCAAGTAAAATTCTGTATGTGTAATAAAATATAGGTATTCAATACGTATTTACCAAAAAGTAAGAAAAATATATTTGTAAAAACCATCAACAAAATATCCGAAAAGATATTTTAAGATTTTTGTTAAAAAAATTGAATGACAATAATTTGTTCAAAAAAGTGGAAAAAATGTTAAAAGTTATCAATAAATATATAAAAAGCACTCTTTTAATGACAACAGTATGTATTTATCATTAGGCCACTTGTTAAGAACGTAATGCTAAGTATGGCAATATGGCCCTTGCCATCTCCTAAGACATTCTGGTCACGAATATGCAGACAATCCAGCTCAGGTCAAAAGAGAAAGTTTACTCTGGAAACTGCGGGTTATATACTAGTCCATTGATAGATGGGGGTAAGACAATATTAAAAAGATGCCAGAAGTAAGTATCAACGTATTTGTAAATCCTTACTTACAGTAGACGAAACAATCTTAGGAATTTGAAATTGTTTATGAAGCCAGGTCTTCCTGGCTACTGATTTGCATTAATAGACAGCCTTTAGGATGGGGGCCCGTGTGAACTCCCGGTAATCACAAATGCCGCAGTATGATGAATGACACGGCACCATAATATTATCGAGGAGGGGAGCTCAACCAACCATATAAAAAATGATTCCGACATTGTTTCAGTTACTTGTGATCATACTACCTGCAAATACAAAATGTATTATCACAATGCCCTGTTGCCATAACAACACATGGGTCTGTGGTCTTACCAGAGGTCTGAAGTCTGGATGGAAGATGATATAGCCATGGTTTGTGATGGCAAAGGCATATCCATTGACTCCAAGCTGTAATGAACAAATCCAGTAATGCATTTATCAAGGAATAATATTGGACATGAGTGTTGGGGCTTGCATGTTGTGTTCAAAATATATGTTGCTGCTTTGTAAAATGGTGGATGGAATATAAAGAAGTGTAATTGTCTGAAGCATCCATAAAATCTGCTGAAATGCCCAGTCATACGATCATCATGACCCATGGTCGAGCTGTTTTAAGAGGTGAGGTGAAATTGGGTTTAACGTTGCGTCCAAGATTATTGCACTTTGTGCCAATTCTTAAACTCTATGTGTACACATTCGAATCAAAATATGTTATGGCTATGACAAAAATTTTAAGGTGTGTTACTTAAAATGCAGTCTTCACAAATAATTCAGTCTGACTTATAAAACCAAACTTTACCACCAAATTTGAACAATTTAATAAAGCACTAAACATATTTCTTATATTTGGTGTAGAACTTACGAAAAACTTTCAAAATCATTCTTTTATTCTGAAACCACATTTGCAACTTATTGGTGAAGAACCCTCACTTTGTGTAATGGAATATATTTTTTTAGCTCGAATGTGCGGACATCAGTGCCAGCGACACCAAGGAGGTTCTCATCCGGTCTCTCCTCATCCTCCCCCTGAAACAGAAGCACATCTCCTGAAAACAGAATCACTGCAAGCTCCTGTCAGAATGTTACATGCATGTCACACTGCCTTGACGTATGAGTTAAAGGACAGTGAGATGAACTGGGGTTTAACAGCTTGACAAATGAGTTTAAGAATGGTGAGATGAACTGGGCTTTAACATCTTGACACATGGGTTTAAGGATGGTGAGATGAACTGGGGTTTAACAGCTTGACAAATGAGTTTAAGGATGGTGAGATGAACTGGGCTTTAACATCTTGACACATGGGTTTAAGGATGGTGAGATGAACTGGGGTTTAACATCTTGACACATGGGTTTAAGGATGGTGAGATGAACTGGGGTTTAACATCTTGACACGAGTTTAAGGATGGTGAGGTGAACTGGGGTTTAACATCTTGACACATGAGTTTAAGGATGGTGAGGTGAACTGGGGTTTAACATCTTGACACATGAGTTTAAGGATGGTGAGATGAACTGGGGTTTAACATCTTGACACATGAGTTTAAGGATGGTGAGATGAACTGGCGTTTAACATCTTGACACATGAGTTTAAGGATGGTGAGATGAACTGGAGTTTAACATCTTGACACATGAGTTTAAGGATGGTGAGATGAACTGGAGTTTAACATCTTGACACATGAGTTTAAGGATGGTGAGATGAACTGGAGTTTAACATCTTGACACATATGAGTTTAAGGATGGTGAGGTGAACTGAGGTTTAACATCTTGACACATGAGTTTAAGAATGGTGAGATGAACTGGAGTTTAACATCTTGACACATGAGTTTAAGGATGGTGAGGTGAACTGAGGTTTAACATTGCTTTCAAGTTTATTACACATTCATGCACATGTGTGTCTGCTTGTACTAGTCTGAATGAATGCCAGTTTTATATTGCTAGCCAACAGACATATCATGCTGCAGTTTAACATGGATACCCTACTCAGTAAACTAACTCAGAGCTGTCTAGTCCTTGTTTTATCCCCTCAATGCCGAGTGCCAGGCAGGGAAACAACAAGCACCATTTTTTAACATATTTGGGTATGATGCAGCCAGGGAATCAAACCATTGAAGGAGTGTTTGAACCAGGCAGGTTAACAAGAGGTTGCTAACCTCAGTATGACAGATGTTTGACACAAACAGGATATTCTATCAAGGACTACCTCACATTTTTATGTAAAGACTATTTATTAAAACTGATGTTCCCTGAGAGCAATTGATATTACCCTATTCAACGTAATAAGCGCCCTGCTCTAATAAGCGATATTTGCTAATATATTGGCTAGTGAACAATCCCAATAAGCACCCCTTCCGATTGATCAATGTACAAAAGACTTATTTATTCGCGTATAATACACACTCGTGTGTTATATGCACCCTTAATTATGGGCAATTATATTCTGGAAATAAATATCTGTCGTATTCAAACATTTCAGGTTGTCAACATAAACCATGAAATTTATCTTTCAACTTTTTTCACCAAAATAATATTCTAATAAGAGCCCCCTATTTCTAATTTTGAGAGTGCCCTGTGCACTTATTACGTTGAATATGGTATACACCGTAGCGACGGAGAGAATTGCTACGTACCGTGGATTCTCTGATGTCAAATACTGGCATGGCTACCGTTATCATCAGGCCTAGACCCTGCAACAACACAGTACAAGACAAGTTATTCCACTGCATCATACACTCTGCATGTCTGTACCCATGTACACAAAACAACATGCCAGCTAGACCCTGCAACAACACAGTACAAGACAAGTTATTCCACTGCATCATACAGTCTGGTGTGGCGGCCATTTGAAAATTGTATTCAAACCTCTTCAACAAGTTGGGTTGTCATCATTGTTAAGTAGTATCAGGCCTACCTATGAAAACAGACTGCTACAAAACACATATAGAAGTCGACAATACACAAGGAATTGGCAACAGAAAAAAATTAGAATGTAACCAAAAACTTAAAACATCATCACAGACCAGAGACCATAGTAGGGTACTGACAGTTATTTTGCTTAAATTTAATCTACATGCGCACTTTGGGCGCCAATCTAGAGGCCATAAAATTTCTGAGTCCCGTGATAGGATTCAAACCATGGACTTCTGATCCGAGATCGGACACCTTGTTCACATGACCAAAGAGGTTAACCAAAGAGGTAAGGATGTCATCTGTGGGATGACTCCACGCCCTGCTACACTGACATGGTAAGGATGTCATCTGTGGGATAACTCCACGCCCTGCTACACTAACAAGGTAAGGATGTCATCTGTTGGATGACTCCACACCCTGCTACACTGACAAGGTAAGGATGTCATCTGTGGGATGACTCCACACCCTTCTACACTGACAAGGTAAGGATGTCATCTGTGGGAAGACTCCACACCCTGCTACATAAGCATATGACAATTTTTTCATGACAGCCCTGTGTATGTTAAGTCTACTTCATTTGTCCAGAGGATTGACAGGCTATGACATAAGCTCACTTCATTCAGCCATGTTACTTAAAAAGGTTATAAGTCCAATAAGTTAATTCATAACAATATTTTCAATATCTCCCCCTTACATAATTACTTTACCAATAACATGATACTTGTAATGAAACAGAAATTTAAATTGATAAACAAAGAAAATAATTTAGCAGGGGTAGGTGTATTCAGCATCACAGCAGTCATCACTTGTTTGTAAACATAATGGTCAGTTGGCTTGAGTTCAACTACAAGCATGGTTGCGATCACCTATCACAGAGGGGAGCTTTCCCTGGTGACAGCGATAGTATAGATAGCTCTGCAAACGGGATATCGCTGTGAGGAGCTTGAACAAGAATCATACAAGGGAGATAACTCATGCTCTTGTTCAACTCATATATGCCTGTAATGGTGTGGCCAGAGATTGCTTTAAGGAACAGGGTCCAGAGAGACAACTTGAAGAACTAACCTTATTAAAATCCCCTTTGTTTGTGCCCAGCATGTCTGTATGAGGTGAGAACGGATTCTCCAACTGCTCGATGATGTCGGATTGCTCCGTAGCATAGTCTAGGTACGCTGCGGTCCAGATCAAGTTGCGATACTTCTCCTGGACCATCGGCCGGCTCATCACTTTGATGTATTGCTGAAAGGACGTCATTGTATATCACCAAGTGTTGACTTAGTCCTTACAAAATGTTAAGCCATCTTCTAGAATTGACTTCCTTTATTAATTCTGGTCACTGTGTCATATACCCTATTTACTATCTAATGTCATGTTAAAACTTAATGTCATGTTACATGTAAACTATAACCATGTGCAACAAAAAAATGTTGGCTGATCATCAAATTAATGGACACACAATTTCTTACACTCTGAAAACTTGAACCATTTGAGAGTGAGTGAGTTGGGTTGAACGCTGCTTGGAACAGAGCTTCTATTAGTATCAATATGCTGATGACTCAATCCAAGATCAGACGATCATGACATGCCAAAGGGAAACAACGCATCCAAGATTATTGCACTTATATAGCGACGTGCATGCACGTGTGTGTGTGTGTGTGTGGCTGCTTGTACTAGTCCGGACTGATGCCGATTTATAGTGCTAGCCCACTGAGATACCATGCTGCAGTTTAACATGAATACCCCACTCACACACAGTATACTGACTCCAAACCGACCAGTCCTTGTTTTAGCACTTAATGCCAAGTGCCAGACAGGGTAAAAACAAGTACCATCTTTTAACGTCTTTTGTGTATGACGTGGCCGGGGATTGAACCCCGACCTTCCGCTCTCAAGGCAGACGCCCTACCACTAGAGTACACAACTTAATTGAGTATGACCCTTGAAGATCCGGATTAGATTTGGTCTTCAGCAACCCATGCTTGTCATAAGAGGCGCCTAACAGGATTGGGTGGTCAGGCTCGCAGACTTGGTTGATGCATATCATCGTATCATATTGGGTGGCTGGGTGGCTGGGTGGCTGGGTGGCTGGGTGTACTGGGCCCTTTAGACCACACACCCACCCCACCCCACCCCACCCCACCCCACCCCACCCCACCCCACTGAGTCTGCCTACACTGAGTATGCCCACTTCTTTATTGCCTAATATTTGGACCGGTAAACGAATGATTTATTTGGGCATCCTTTTTCAAACATTGTTTGAAACACAGATCCTGCTTCACAGAACTGAAACCAGTTGATATTTATGGATCATTAAGGCTCATTTACTCGAACAATTTCCAACTGAAATAAATTTCAGACAAACTCAATCCACAAGCACAAATCATGGCATCAAAGAAATAGTTCTCTTTCTTTGTTAAGGTCAGTGTAAAGTTCTCAGAATCACAATAACAAATTACGCCTTCTCTTTGGATGAAGGAAAGAATACAGTTTAAATCATCCATCATCAATATATAATGGCACTTCAAACAGAGAGAATAGGCAAAAATGAATACAAATTACCCGTTAGTAAGCATGATTTAAATGCCCATAGAGCCAACCGCCTCCCCAGAACAATTCAGTAAATACATTCATGCTAATGATGTCTGCAACATAATTTTATGGACAATATAAATATTCTTCTGTCAATAACGAGTGATTTCTTCCTACCCATCAAACAGAAACAATATTTTCAACCTCAGCCCAAGACAGCAGAAACATCCTTTCTACAAATCTTTCCAGCCCAAAGGATTATTTATGAAGTCACTTATTGGTAAGATCGTTTTCAGGAAAAACATAAATTGTTGTTTTATATCTAATTCCATCCCATCACGAAAACAATAATTTGACTTCTGTCTTCATAACGACTAATATAAATGTGGTTAGAGTTGTCCCTTTTTCCCAAAAGGATTCAGAAATAGCGAAATGACAATGAGGTAATGTGATCCGTGGAAATATAGCGACATCTTGCATGCAACGAGCAGGGGATAATGCATCTCAATTTATCAATTTGGGAAGCTGGATGTCTTGAAAAACTGATTGATACGTCTGGGATAATTGGGATGAGGGATACAGGGAAGAAAGAACGCCTAATTGCACTATTTGCATTGAAATCCAGATGTCCCAGTATAACACTTGTAGCACTGGAGGTTCAGTAATTGTAGTCCGGTGATTCCGATCATACTTGAAGCGTCAAGTTAAGACGGAAGTAGAGCAGTTATGTGTTTGTAACAAGCATCTGCTGCACAGTTTTGTCCTGTGAACGACCCTGGCATCCATCATTCAGCATCATTTGTAGCAACAATTCCCCACCACGGCACCATTCTGGAAGAACCTGGTGATGCTAGCCATGTTGGAGGTAGAGTTATGCTATGTCAGCTATTTCTTTTAGATAACATCCTGGCCACTTGGTGTGAGTAAGATCTAGGTGAAGCTTGGGATATGTGTGTGGTGTGTGCTTGTGTGTGTGTATGTGTGTGTATGTGTGGGCATGGGTATGGTTGTGGGTGTGGTTGTGGTTGTGGTTGTGGGTGTGGTTGTGGGTGTGGGTGTGGGTGTGGGTGTGGGTGTGGGTTTGGGTGTGTGTTGGTGTTGGTGTTGGTGTTGGTGTTGGAGTGGGTGTGGGTGTGGGTGTGGGTGTGGGTGTGGGTGTGGGTGTGGGTGTGGGAGTGGGTGGTTGTTTGGGTGTGGATGTGGCTTGAGGTTGAATGGATGGATGGATAAATGGTTGGATGGATGGATGGATGGATGGATGGATGGATGGATGGATGGATGGATTGATGGATTGTTTGTTTGTTTGTTTGCCACACTCAGCAATATTCCAGCTATATGACAGCGGTGTGTAAATAATAGAGTCTGGACCAGATGGATGATGGATGGTTGGATGGATGTGTAAGACCAGGCTGACTAGTCTAAGATCCTTGTTGTGTCAGGATCTGTTTGTTCTGGGTACTCAGTCCCATGATTTGTCAGCACTATGCCCAAGCTTGTAGGTTTCACAAAAGTGCTAAAGGTCTGTGACCTGCATCACATCTGGCTTTCCTCAATATAACTTGACACAACTGAAATATGGCTCAAACCCCACTTACTCACTCACTCACTGCATGGAGAACAAAGAGATGTACAGTATAAGGGTTTGAATGTACACAAGTCCAGCCTGTCTATGTCATGGTCATCTTTGGATAAATAATTTCATTGTTATACAGTCATGTTACCTGTACATTCTCTTGGACATCAGCACGTGTAGAAATGTGTTTATGGTCACCTGAAATAATGAATGAAAAAAATGTGACAATAATTACCCTCTGGTAGTATATTACTCATTACCAAAAAGTCCCCAATTATTTTTTATGTTTTGCTGAACCATAGGAATCACCACCACCAACACCCCCACCGCCCCAACAATCATCATCATCATCATCATCATCATCATCATCATCATCCCCAACAATTGGGTGCCTAATTGAATGTGTGTCATCATGCTGTGATCGTTGCTCATGATATTAATCCCTGGTTAGCCTGGCCCATGCCACTATGATAAAGATGGAATACTGCTGTATGTGGCATTCACTCACTCACTCACTCACTCACTCACTCCATTAAGAAAACAAAGATTGCATCATTTTGTTTTCAGTAACGTTCCAACAAAAAGAGGGGCGGTCGGGTAGCCTAGTGGTTAAAGCGTTTGCTCATCATGCCAAAGACCCGGGTTCGATTCCCAACATGGGTACAATGTGTGAAGCCCATTTCTGGTGTCCCCCGCCGTAATGTTGCTGGAATATTGCTAAAAGCGGTGTAAAACCATACTCACTCATTCCAACAAAACGACATAAAACATATATCATTCATTAAAACTCAGATAAATATTTGGAATTATTCAAGGAGTGATTGAAATGGACAACTAAAATACAAAAAATACATACTTCTCGCCAATATCCTCCTGCAACAAATCCATTGTCTGGTATATAAATCAGACATATTTCAGTGTTTAAAATAGTGTTTATTTCCCTGGGCCTACTGTATAAGTGAAAATCACCTTTATTGGCACAAGCCATCCACTTGACTTGTCTGTTGTCTGAGACTTCCTTCCCTATCAGGTACGTGAAGACTCGAACCTGGAACAAAAAAACACCTCATTATCCACTGAAGACATCGCTGTATCACCTACAAACACCTGGCAGTTAATATTCACCTTGTCATCTAAGTTAGGTTGTTTGTGTGAGTGGAAGAGAATCCAAACTGTTGTAAGGATGATGAGGATGTACATCAGTTTCAGGCACTGTTCTTATTCAATGGATCACAGTTTGGTCTTTTTGTAAGTTTGGGCCAAATATGGCACTGTCAGGATTATCTGATTGTCTGTGTCTGCATGTCATGGCATCAGAGAATTCTAGGTGTGGTATCAGAGAATTCTAGGTGTGGTATCAGAGCTCTATGGCATCAGCATTCTGTGATAACAGAGCTGTATGGTATCAGAGCTCTATGGCATCAGTGTTCTGTGATAACAGAGCTGTATGGTATCAGAGCTCTATGGCATCAGCGTTCTGTTGCGTCAGTGCTCTATGGTAACAGAGTTCTATGGTAACAGATCTCTATGGTATCAGAGCTCTATGGCATCAGAGTTCTATGATAACAGAGCTCTGTGACATCAGCATTCAGAAGAATTCTATCATAACAGAGCTCTATGGTAACATAGTTCTATGATAACAGATCTCTATGGCATCAGAGCTCTATGGTAACAGAGTTCTATGATAACAGAGCTCTATGGCATTAGAGTTTTATGATAACAGAGCTCTATGGCATTAGAGCTCTATGATAACAGAGCTCTATGGCATCAAAGTTCTATGGTAACAAAGATCTATGGCATCAGTGTTCTGTGATGTCAGAGCTCTTAGTTCATAGAGATCTAATTGTTATCAGAGATTTAGAGATCTATGGATCAGAGTTCTGTGGTGTCAGAGCTCAATGGTAACAGAGGTCTATGATAACAGATCTCTATGGCATCAGAGCTCTATGGTAACAGAGCCCCCTGGCACCAGAGTTCTATGGTAACAAAGATCTATGGCATCAGTGTTCTGTTATGTCAGAGCTCAATGGTAACAGAGTTCTATGATAACAGAGCTCTATGGCATAAGAGTTCTATGATAACAGATCTCTATGGCATCAGAGCTCTATAGTAACAGAGTTCTATGATAACAGAGCTCTATGGCACCAGAGTTCTATGATAACAGAGCTCTATGGCATCAGTGTTCTGTGATGTCAGAGCTCTTAGTTCATAGAGATCTAACAGTTATCAGAGATTTAGAGATCTATGGATCGGAGTTCTATAGAGATCTATATTACAAGAGTTCTAGTGATATATGGTATACAAGTTTTCAGAAGTCTATGTGTTCTGAGATCCATGGTATCCATTAACTGTATCATTTATTGAGAACAATGTTGTGGGTCCATTATGCAGATTGTTTTAATATTTAGCTACTGATGCTTTTTTTCTTTTGGTTGCCACACTAAATATTTCCTAATGTTTTCAAAGGTCCTGAATATGCTGAATATACAGTGATGTCACACGGCAAAGTGAGTGAGTGAGTGAGTTGGGTTTAACGCCGCTTTTGACAGTATTCCAGTTATATCACGGCGTGTCAGGTTAATGTGGGAGGAAAGCCCGAAGTGATGCAGGTCTCAGACGTTTACCACTTCGGTGAAACCCACGAGCACGGGTATGGTGCTGACAAACCTAGAAACATAATCGGGGTGAACCGGGATTCGAACCCACAATCATAGGTTTCTGGCGTGCCCAAGGGACGCAACTCTGCACAGCGAATCGCGGCGCCTTAGACGACTGGGCCACCCATGCCCCCCACACAGCAAAGAATTGATTTTATATTCATTGCGGCGTTCTAAAATAATGACTTCATGTGGACCCACAGCAACAGGTGTCTACAATTCAATACTAACTCAGTCACTAAACGACTTAACACTCTGCATATGCCACAGATAATCTGGCACATCAAATATGATATCCTGAAGTATCATCTTTAACACAGCCAATATGTTCCAAAATGTATTTGATGTTCACAGCCCCCATCAAACCAACCTCTATCTTTGACATCAAATTACACGCCAACACCGCCAACCGTTTTCCAATATCTCAAGAGCAGGATCAAAGCATATTGGGTATCAAACCATACGGAATAATCAAACATCAAACACATAAACCCATCCATGAGGACAAGCAAGCTCACTTTGCTGACGATTCTGAGGGTGATAAAGTCAAACGGAATCTAAACATCTCACCATCAGTCAATTCGGAGTCACACACAGACTCTCACAAAGCTGATAGCATCCGGTGAATTTTAGTCAGCAGTTCAAAGCAATCTGTGAAACTATCGTTTGATAGAACAACATCTCATATGAAACATGCTTCGATGATCGCATTGCTGGAATTTTTGTGATAATCAGATAAAATATCAAAAATAAGTTCTCATATCACGGAACTGGATTTGGGTAATGCTATTTGTTGTAGCATATTTTTTGTTTCTTGGTGCCTACAAATTGTTCTTGATGAGGTGATGCATACTAAACGTTGTAGAATTTGAATATAGTGGTTTTGATGTGGTCAATAACTGAATCGTGAAGATCCAGGGTAGAATAGGTCTTCAGCAACCCATGACTATGCTTGTCTTAAGAGGCACCTAACGGAATCGGGTTGTCAGGCTCACTGACTTGGTTGATGAATGTTATTGGATCCCAATGGATCGATGCTCATGATGTCATTCACTGGATTGTCTGGTCCAGACTTGATTATTTACCGATGTCATATAGCTGTAATATTGCTGAGTGCGGCGTTAAACAACAAACAAACAAACAATAACTGACTCGGATGTTAACAGATTGCTAATTGAACCTTCTTGACAACCTATTTTTCTACGTACTTGTCAATGTCTAGGACAGTGGTTGAAAGAAAAAATTGAAAAACATATTCTCTCCAAGTGTTCTCTTAACCCTTTAGCTGCATAACACAACTACTATCAAAGAGGAAAATTGGGTACCAAAATCTAGATGGGCAAGTCATCTGCCATTTGATCTAAAGTTGGCACTAACGCCATATTCCTACTGACAGACTGACAACCTTTACAATCATAGGAGATACTTACCCACAATTTGTTTAATAATTCTGAGAGTATTATTGGTTAGAAATGGCCTTGACTTTGTCAAAAGTGCAACATACAATGGTCACCTTCAAATCTACAATGTGTAATGTGTAATTAGAGATGAAATTTTTCAACATTCAAACTTTATTTCGTAAAGGTTTCAGAAAAAATAAATTGCACCTAACTTCTTAATAGTGCAGTATAAGGCTAAATGAACAAATGCACTTCACTTTATGATGCTCTTCAAATTAATTCAACAGTCTAAGTATTGATGTTCTGGAAAAAAATTACAGCAAAAGAAAAATCTTCTTAAAGTGGCAAGTGAAGGGATATTTCCTGCAGATATTGACCTACTTTGAATATTTTTCACCACTGATATTAGTTAACTCACTGACTGGAAGAAGAAAAGACTCTCAAACTTTTAATTTTATGTCATATTTGTGACATTTTGGAATGGCACACACAAAATAACGCCTTCAAGGCGTATGGCCTGTGATCAATCCAAGTGTAGTAAAGGGCTTTACAATTCATCTTGATAAAAAATCTATAGAGCACTGTGACATGATGATGTAAAAATTATGAAAACACCCAAGGCACTGCTTTTTTAATGAGATACTTGATGTGAGCAATACCCTGGAAATGAAAATATTACAGATGGATGGTCAGATGGATGGGTGGATGGATGGATGTTAGATGAACGGTCAGATGGAGGGCTGTCAGATGATGTCAGATGGATAAGTCACATAAACATGTGATGGATGGATGGTCAGATGGATATCAGATGTATGGATGGCCAGATAGATAAATGGTCAGATGAACACAATATGGAGGGTCAGATAATAGATCAGATGGATGGATGTCAGATGGATGAATGTCAGATAGATGGATGTCAGATGGATGGATGTCAGATAGATGGATGTCAGATGGATGGATGTCAGATGGATGAATGTCAGATAGATGGATGTCAGATGGATGAATGTCAGATGGATGAATGTCAGATAGATGGATGTCAGATGGATGAATGTCAGATAGATGGATGTCAGATGGATGGATGTCAGATAGATGGATGTCAGATGGATGGATGTCAGATGGATGTATGTCAGATAGATGGATGTCAGATGGATGGATGTCAGATGGATGAATGTCAGATAGATGGATGTCAGATGGATGAATGTCAGATGGATGAATGTCAGATAGATGGATGTCAGATAGATGGATGTCAGATAGATGAATGTCAGATAGATGGATGTCAGATCGATGGATGTCAGATGGATGGATGTCAGATGGATGAATGTCAGATAGATGGATGTCAGATGGATGAATGTCAGATGGATGAATGTCAGATAGATGGATGTCAGATAGATGGATGTCAGATAGATGAATGTCAGATAGATGGATGTCAGATAGATGGATGTCAGATAGATGGATGTCAGATAGACTGATGTCAGATTGATGGATGTCAGATGGATGAATGTCAGATAGATGGATGACAGATGGATGAATGTCAGATAGATGGATGTCAGATGGATGAATGTCAGATGGATGGATGTCAGATAGATGGATGTCAGATGGATGAATGTCAGATAGAAGGATGTCAGATGGATGGATGTCAGATGGATGAATGTCAGATAGATGGATGTCAGATGGATGAATGTCAGATGGATGGATGTCAGATGGATGAATGTCAGATAGATGGATGTCAGATAGATGGATGTCAGATAGATGGATGTCAGTAAGATGGATGTCAGATGGATGGATGTCAGATGGATGAATGTCAGATAGATGGATGTCAGATGGATGAATGTCAGATAGATGGATGTCAGATAGATGAATGTCAGATGGATGAATGTCAGATAGATGGATGTCAGATGGATGGATGTCAGATGGATATCAGATGGATGATGTCAGATAGATGGATTATGTCAGATGGATGATGTAAGATAGATGGATTATGTCAGATAGAT